TGCCAGCAGAAGGGTGCAGGATCACCACATGCATCCTCCCTTACCATTCTCATTATCTACTCGCAAATTCGTACATGTATTATACGTACACGCATGTGCGTGCACAAATCCAAGCACGAACGCACATGCATGCATGCTCACCTTCACACGCATAATACTATGTTCGCAGAGACTCAACCACATCGACCCACAGACCGTCTTCAATCAGGACTCTTACAAATCCTGTCAGCTGCACAACTCTGCCCTTGTGATCCGGTATGCATGTCTGTGTGGGAACAAAAGCTAGTGTTGCCCCTGCGTGTGCTTATTGTACAGTCAATCCTTGAAACAGGATCGCGATGGACGAACGTGTTTTAAAAGTGCGAGCTACCAGAATGAAGCGTGAACCAGGCGGGAAGCCGTGAAAAAGATGTTCGTGTACGCGTAGGTGAAGTGTCTTGCCAGTCTCTCGGTAGAACACCGTACCTTTGAGAGCCATCTATACGGCTGTCATTGGAAGTACACAGACTTCGTATGTGAAGGTCGTTGGTTTCGTGGAAAAGACGACGTTTGCGAATTCAGAATTGTTGCTTGATAGCATGCGTCTTTCTACGGTTGACGGGGGTAGGCAAAGCTACTAGCAACATTGATACTTGTACAACAGGCAACGAGAAGTGTTTGGTTAGGTCGTGAGGTGTTCAACACTAGAGTGTAAGGACGCGGGACAAACACGCTAGCAGCGGTAACATCACGATTGACAAACGGTAAGCCCAACTTTGGTGAAAGAACGCTATTAGTGGGCTCATTGCCAATCAAAAAGAGTCTGTATCCTTGCGGATGTACACGAGAAAGGTGCAGCGTTTTTTGCTTAAAAGGCGACAATTATCCCACTTCTCCAGCAGTAAAATATACACGCATTATCGAGGACCGTCGATGAGGAGATCATTCATATTTTCTTGTAGGTTATGCTGGCTGAGATATTCTTGTTGTGGATTCCCAGATAGAGGGAAGAAACACCGTACTTTTGAAAGAATCAGTTGAGATCATGGTAGGTGCTGGTACCGTCCGGACATCCTAGACCGTCTGCTTCATAATACTTTTCGATCTGGTCGGCCACGCACTGTGAACTCCGCTGACAAGACTTAACATGGTCGGAACAGTTCGCTGTCCTGAGCCATAATAATTTATTACTTCGAAGTATATGAATATTCACTGGCTGGAGAGAAACACGCAAACGGGAAAAGTCTGAAGAAAACATTGACTGTCACCACCAGAACTCGAACCAGGGATCCTCGCTTGTAGCTAGCGATGCTCTAACCACTGAGCTATGGTGTAGTATACGAATATTAATCAATCATTTCTCTCTTCTGTTCCGGACATGGCCATGAGTTCCTCTTGCTGTTCTGTGATCTACTATGTACGCTTATCGACGTAGATTGTCATGGAAGGTGAAAGAGGCAAGATTGTTTGGAACACGTCTGCCATGCGCTTACATTGCATCCGAATCATACTGGTCCTCAGCTGTGTGGCATCACTAAGCGAAGGTATGGTATATTGAGAGTTGGATGTTTGATTAAATTTGTAGCCTCGATTCCTGCTGGGAGGGCCTGTCCAAGACTCAATCCACCAGTGGCTGCATGGCATTGTAGCTTCGAACTACCCAAAGCGACACATGACAGATAATGCATTGTTTCACAACTCCCCAGTTGTCGTACACATCGTTCCCAAAACTAAACAAGTCTCTTCTCAAGGCACTGGCTATGTGTGCAGTCTATTCCCAACGAATAAGACAATAAAACCTGCTAGGTCATTGTTGTAACGCTGCGTTTCATGCACATAGCAAAGCTAATGCAATCCTCAGACAACTGATCATCTGTTCATCATCTGGCTACAAACTTATCTCCAGGCGGGAGGCTGGTACTGGTGACGGCAGGCATGTAACTAAGTCACACCAGTATAGCGCGAGAGCTATAACTTATTCTGGTGAAGACATATTGATACTTATTCTGATTTTTTTGTTTAGGAGCGTGACTGCGTCAACGCGGATGATCTTCATCTTTTCTACTAGGCATAGGTCGCACCTTTGCTCCATCCTCGTGGTGTTGAGCACTCCAGGCAATCAGGAAATTCTCGCCATGGTCACTTTTTCTGTCCGTATCTGATCATTCTCGACTAGGCAGAGCTCCAAACCGGTTCCTGTGTAGGGCACTTCCTCTCATGGATTAACGTGGTGGTATGGTAGATGCTCAGTTTCGACACCCTGCAAGAACACCTAACGTGTCGGTTGCGAAATCCCGACTAAACTAAAGAAATTTATTACTAGCATTCAGGTATCCATAACTCCACAACCTTAATATAACCTCAAATACCTACCCTATGCTGTAGACATAACCTCAAATAACTTCAGATAGCACCACAGGTATTGACTGATCCATTGGTCAGCACAGGTAGCAGAAAACTGCTCCGTTGGCTACGCACAAAATCTACTCTGCTCACGTCCACATTTTACATGTGTATCCAATGGAAATTGGACAACAGCCAGGAAGCCAACATGTATTACATTATTACACACGAAAATCCGGTGGAACAACAACGTGATTAAATGTCTCTACTCACGAGTTTCATGCTGAGAAGCAATCATCAGGAGACTGGGGATATAGTCGGGGTTGTGTGGTCTTATTCACTATAGGTGTTATTACATTATTATATAATTATTACGTTTGAATTCTACTGCTCAAATTTGTTCATTGTACCGGTTAATGGCCAATGCAGATACATGTACATGTGTACTGTATTGCGCTGTAGTGTATGTATATCGAAGGCGGTTCAGCATTGCACTGTCGTTTTTAGAAAACGTTTTACCACCTGACCCTGTCCTGTCGTCTATATACTTGGATGAATTTCTAGAGGCCTCCTCAGTCCTGAAAACGTCCCTGAGTTTGCCCATGTTTGCAGTTGCTTTCAAAGAAGATCATTTTATTATAATGGTAAACCCAGCCAACACTAGTGCTTGTGCGCAGTTAATTAAAGCACCATTCACGAATCATGGGGGTTAGAACCTAGACCGTTTGCATACGTACCGTCTCTTATACCATAATTATAGAAATTGCACATTGGTGGTGTTACAACAATCTGTAGTGCTAAATCAATTGCACTGCTCTACTGGATTGTTAGGAGACTGCGGGGCACCGACAAATCCGAATGGAGGGACATATCAGACCGATCCTACAACCAACAGCAGTACTGCGACAATAAGCTGTGCTGCTGGATTTGTTGTGAATCCTCCTGGATCAACTCCAAATATCACATGCCAAGCCGATGGTAACTGGACAACACTTAACACGCCACCATGTCTGCGTAAGTTATTCGTTGCTGTAATGATTCTCAATGTACTAATAGGTCTCTATAATACCGATCCTGCAGCCCAAACATCGAAGCGGACACCAAATACGATGCGCCCAATTAAAACAAGTTCACCTATAAGGGATGATGCTCGGCGCTCGTTTTACAGAGTGACAGAAGCCTCATGCAGCCGTCGGCGCTCGTTTTACAGCGTGACAGAAGCTTCATGCAGCGGCATCAGCCAGCTAGATTAGTCAGTGTCGCAGTGTCTTCAGTTTCTAAGTGTTTCGAAATCGCTGGATTTCGTGTTAACACATGGCGAGCTCAATGGCTACAACATCGCTGGCCTCAAGCGAAGGTCCCTGTTCGAGTCCTGGTGGTGACAGATATTGTTCTCTTCAGACTTTTCCCTTTCTCATTCCCTCAACTAGTGAGTACATCATAGTCATTCATTTACAGTCAACATGCAACTCAATCATATGAAATAGCACGATATCTGTGCACTGCACCGTATATGATGCAGGTCACTCCTCTCTCCTCCAGCCTTTAGTTGACTTTGCAGAACATCTGGAGCACAGTGTGCAGTCTCGAGTCATAATACTGAAGAATCAAATTCCTTATGCAGTTCGATCGCCAAGCCGGTTCAGGTCAATACTAGGTAAAATAACGGGAACGGTTTGTATTCAATCTGGAGCGCAGCGCACTCTGCAGATTGGCCAAATTCGCAGAATGCCAGGAACACTTACTGTTCGTGGAGACAAAAAGATATGAACGCAGTAAGTAAAGCAAGTTGCTCATTACTCACATACTTCGAAGTACACCTTTGGCCGGTGGTAAATATCAAAATCCCTCTGATGAGCGGCCCTGGCCAATGGTGTTTCGCAGCGTGCTATAGCGTTCAAATCAATTTTATCAATAAGTATTCGAAAGACTACAAGATAACACAGAGAAGGTTTCAGTGACAGGTCCCATCTTATTTACTCAGTATCATCTTCATTGTAGTGCTGCCAGCTCAGGGGCCTCGCTATGCTTTCATTTGACCTAGGTCACCATGCATGTATTTCTAACTGGTAAAAACATCTCAATTAAATACAAAGGATCATTTGTGGAAGTGAACTGCCTGAAAAGAGAAAAAAATCGCTAGACCCACCAGGACTCGAACCCGGGACCCCGCTTGTCATGAGTAATGCTCTAACCACTGGTTAGAGCATTGCTCATGACAAGCGACATCCTGACATGACAACCTGGTGGGTCTGGCGATTGTTTCGCTTTTCAGGCAGTTCACTTCCCCAAATGATCATTTGAATTTGAAGTTCTCCCAATCCTTTCAATAATTAAATACAATTAATGTTTTTCTGTTCTTGTATTGCAAATATGTTTCTATCAGGTCGAGTAACAGTAATGATGACCTCGGTAAAACAGAGGAATAGCAAGGGTCCTCAGCTTCCAGGTCTCCTAATCCTTCCTTTTTATACCACACATACATGTACGTTTCTCATGCGGCCCCAGCAATACCATAACCATATTATGTGCAGTATGTCAAAATACTTGAAATCATTAATTGCTAGTGAACAGTATAGAATCCAAGTGAGAATGAAAAACGTAACACTCAATGTCTTTTGTCATCCAAAACAATTTAGAATATTCCATTGCTTTTTGAACTGTATTGTTAGGAGACTGTAGGACACCCACGAATCCAACTTGGGGTACATATCCAATGGATGGTTCTACAACCGTCGGCAGTACCAGGACAATAACTTGTTCTTCTGACTATGCTGTCAATCCTTCTGCAACAACACAAACTATCACATGCCAAGCCGATGGTACTTGGACAATGCCTGGTGTGCCACCATGTCTACGTAAGATATTCTTGATTTAAATGAGAGTTGATAGTAGAGAAAAGGACCAAGGAAGTACAAGTTATGTTATAATGTCCACTAACACCACCAGTAACGAAACAATCAGCTCATGCGATAACACTGTACGACACTGACCAACGGTACTGACGTTCTACAACTAACTGACTATGAGCTCTAGAACGTTTTGCATGCGCACTCCAACAGCAGTATGTTATCAGATAACTTAGAACCTTCCAAGTTGGAAGGCTTTTGGAGTGCGCACCGAGGACGTACTAGCACCTTTTAAGATGTCAAAAAGTTAAAGCTTTCCATTTGGCTAATGGTTTCGATCCCAGGGCATCAAAGTTGTACAGTCCGTGCACAAAGGGTTAAAATTCGTGTTTTGGTGCCCACTACACATTTGCAAAGAGAGAGAGAGAGAGAGAGAGAGTGCTGGCAGCTGAGGGGCCTCGCTATGCTTTCGTTTGACCTAGGTCACCATGCATGTATTTCTAACTGGTAAAAACATCCCTTAAAATACAATTAGTGTTTTTCTGTTCTTTTATTGCAAATAAGTTTCTGTCAGCTCCAGTAACAGTAGTGATGACCTAGGTAAAACAGAGGAATAGCAAGGGTCCTCAGCTGCCAGGTCTCCTATTCCTTCATCTTTTTGACCACACATACCTGCACATTTCTCATCCAAAGCCCACCAATGCCATAACCACAACCATAATGTGTGCAGTATGTAAAAATACTTGAAATCATTAATTGCTAGTGAACAGTATAGAATCCAAGTGAGAATGAAAAACGTAAAACTCAATGGACTTTGTCATTCAAAACTATTTTTATAATATTCTATTGCTTTTTGAACTGTATTGTTAGGAGACTGTAAAACACCCGCGAATCCAACTGGAGGAACATATCCAATGGCTGGTTCTACAACCGTCGGCAGTGCCAAGACAATAACTTGTTCTCCTGACTATGCCGTCAATCCTTCAGCAACAACACAAACTATCAAATGCCAAGCCGGTGGTACTTGGACAGTGCCTGGTGTGCCTCCATGCCTACGTAAGATATTCTTGATTTAAATGAGAGTTTATAGTATAGAAAAGGACCAAGGAAGTACACGTTATGCTATTATGTCCACAAACACCATCAGTCACTAAACAATCAGCCCATGCGATAACACTGTACGACACTGACCAATGGTACTGACATTCTACAACTAACTGACTTTAAGCTCTGGCACGTCTTGCATGCGCACTCCAACAGCAGTATATTATAACTTAGAACCTTCCAAGTTGGAAGGCTGTTGGAGTGCGCACCGAGGACGTATTAGCACCTTTTAAGATGTCAAAAAGTTACAGCTTTCCATTTGGCTATGCAGCTACAATACGTGTCTCTCACTCTTTGCCAATCTTCTTTTGTTCGATGTTACCATCAATCTCCTTTTGTTCGATGTTACCATCTGTGCAGCTCTGCTGTCCGAGTTCACAGAGCCCCAGGGCACCATGGCACACTTCAGATTCTCGACTTCAACAACATTTTGAAAATGTCACGAGTATGCTTTCCAGGCCTCTTTCCTTCCACCTTCTGTTCTTGCTGTACTTAACTCATCGGTCTTGTGTCTCTGCTCTTGCCTGTATATCACCGTACAGTGTGTACAGGAAGTATCAAACCCCTAAAAATCAAGCTGTGTAAAAGGCGGAACGGAATAAGACCCGTAACCTCTCGCGGCTGGAGCACCGCAGATTTCTCCGCACTCTCAATTCATTCTCCCAAAAGGCCCAAACAACATCACCGAATCTACACAATTTTATCCGAAGTTTGCGGTCGGACTCCACCGGAAAACCCACTGTATCACGCCTCACCGTCCGAGGAGCTGACATCAAATCACCTGACGACATTGCAAATGCCCTAAATAAGCAGTTCATTGCATTTGGTACTCTGGATAACCCTCAGTGGACGCTCCCGCCTTTGCAGGACGCCTCGACTGCGCCGCCGCTCACCTCTATCTTCACCACGCCCTATGCCGTGCATAAATGCATCAAGCGTCTAAAGCTCCGGAAAGCTGCGGGACCTGATGGAGTTACACACGAGCTGCTGAAATTGATTGGCCCGTCGATATCGCTTCCTTTGAGTCTGCTATTCAATCTGTCATTCTCCACCGGTATTTTTCCAACTGCCTGGAAAGCTGCTGTCGTCATCCCGCTGTACAAAAACAAAGGCGCGAGAACGGATCCGACGAACTATCGTCCCATATCCCTTCTCTCAACGATATCAAAGCTGTGTGAGCGAATAATGTATGACAAGTTATATGCACATGTAGATCCATATCTCCATCAATCACAGTCCGGATTCCGTCGAGGTGATTCAACAGCCTGGCAGCTACTTCGAGTTGTTCAATCCCTCTGCATGACAATCGCCATCGCAGCGAGTACAGCCTAGTCTGCTTCTTCGATTTATCTAAAGCCTTTGATACTGTGTGGCACCGTGGGCTGATGGCTAAGATAGCATTATTCTCGATTCAAGGACGCATACTGCGGTGGCTGGAGAGTTACCTGTGTGGTCGCTCACAGCAAGTGAGTATCTCGGGTCAATTGTCCCAACCTGAATGCGTGTGTTCTGGTGTCCCCCAGGGATCAATTCTGGGGCCCCTGCTTTTTCTAATGTATGTGAATGATATCGGTGCAATTCCCAACACCTCGCTATATGCGGACGACACCACTCTGCTGGCTAGTCACCGGTCGCTCCCCGTCGCGTGTCAAGACCTGCAGGTAAGAATAGACTGTGTGGTCAAGTGGATGCGAAGGTGGAAACTCCGGCCGAACTCCGCCAAGACCGAGATCATGTGTGTCGTCCCCAACGCGTCATCAGATGTTGCACATCTTCAAACTTCTATTTTCCATTTCCCAGATGATCCTACCCCGATACCTATAACCTCTCGTCACAAGCACCTTGGCGTTACACTTGATAGCAAATTGGACTGGTCCCACCATTTCCGGAATCTGGAAAAGCGGGCAAGCTCAGTCGTCGGTATTCTTTATGGCCATCTCCCCCACATTTCACCAGAATGCCGAAAGACCTTTTATCATACATGTACATACGTTTTGCCTATTTTCTTGTATTGCTGTGTGGTGTGGTGTGGCACTGGTAATGGCCTCTTTGCAAAGCTGGAGATTGTGCATCGACGAATTCTCCGGGCAATACTTCGTTTGCCGCCCGAGACCAACATAGCCGTTCTCTATGAAAATTGCTGTACATTTCCTCTGAAACATTACATTGACCGATCCTCCTGCGTATACATTCACAAAATCAAACTTATTACTGCCCCTCAGCATGTGCAGCATTCCTAAACTGGTTCAATGAATCCTCAACAAGCCGGAACTCGCTTCGTTTCCCGATTGCAAGAAACAATTCTATGAGCAAATCGCCTGTATTCCTAGCATACCAATTATGGGATTCTCTTCCTCAGCAATTAAAGTCCAGCAACACCCTCAATGCGTTTTTAAGCTTGATAAATATACACGTACGTCGATCTTCATTTACTAATCATTGATTTCAATTCTCTCTGTGTATTACTTCAAGCTCCAAAGTAAATCACATATGCTACCTGTACAATTCATTTGGGTTTTGGATTGATTTACTTTTATTTCATTTTTATTTTCATTTAACTTGCCATATTTTGCGTGTGCATTTTTGCCTTCTTGTTCTTTTATTCCATGGCTGGTAGCCCTCATTCATAATATTGGTTGACACCATGTCATCCATGAATTGAGAATAATAATAATAATAATAACCTGAAGAGAATGCTTCAAAGTATATTATCAGATAAGAATTTCAAAATAATGCTGTTGAAGTACTTGACGTGTGTTCTCTCTTTGTAGTGTTTTACATGTACCATTTCTGTTTCCGAGGAGGTTAATGCCAGTATAAATAATAACTCGTAGACGTGTTGCTGGTGCGGTGAAAGTGATCGGCCCGAGACTAGCCCGTCCCCAAAGATGCTCGCCATATGTTTCGAAACTTCTGGTTGTTTGGAAAGAAATCGCAACTTTCCGCGAACTACTTCGCAACATTTCCGCAACCTAGTCCCATGGGATGGTTCAAAAATGGTCAAGTCGCCAACTACATGTCGGACAAATGCTTAGTCGTCCATTTCTCGCCTGCCTTCAGACTCATTTCGTTTCAGAAAAAACATTACTAGTACAGTTCAACGGTAGTTTTGTTATGTGCATTCCTTTTTGCGGGCAATGACATAAAGGAGGATACATGTAACCGGCTATTTGCACCGTGTAAAGTTATGGTTTACAGCACGAATGAGTAGAGAGTTGGCTGTCGATCGGATGCACTTCTGCTATTCTGGCTCTGTTTTGGTGGTTTTGGGCATCATTGCATGTAGCGATGTCAGCAACCGTTGAGCTTTTTCTGGAAATATGGGTGCGATTGCAGCAACTTGCACTTGTTTTGGCAAGGTTGCGAAAAATATAAGTTGCGAAATATTATGGCACCTTTGGGGAAGAGCTACCCGTGACCGCATGTGTGGAGATTGGACTAATTCATGAACAAGTCAAACGACAAAGGCTGCTCACAATCTTTCTGATTTTTCCATTACAATAATTATCACCTGCTTTGTTAGGAGACTGTGGAGTACCCACAAATCCAACTGGAGGTATATATCCAGCGGCTGGTGCTACAACCGAGGGCAGCACCAAGAGAATAAGCTGTTCTGCTGGATATGCCGTCAATCCTTCTGGAACAACTCCAACTATCACATGCCAAGCCGGTGGTAGCTGGACAGCACCTAGCATACCTCCATGTCTGCGTAAGTTCTGCCAAAATAATATCAATATGACTTTGCATCATCCACCATTGGCACATGATCATACCCGAGTCTAGTGAGAAGGCATTCTACTGCCTGTAATTCTGGTGAAGTAAAATATATGTAGCACTCAGTATAGAGTCCATGCACTATATGATGTCCAGCACCCTATATAGAGTCCATTGGTCCAAAATCCACTATACAGAGTCCAGGAGTCCACTCAGTTTTGATCAGCTTCATCCTGCCGCGCAATCCCCTATAAGGAGTACACTTTTTCTACAAGTCCCCTATTCACAGTCCAGGAGTCCAGTTTATCCAGTCACGCCGTCCTGTGTGTTGTGCCCGAAAGAGAACAAACACATTTTCAGTTTTGCTTGCCTCGTGGCAGCGCATTCCTTTCTCCACTTTAGCCATGGCTCCCAGTTCTGCTGTGCAGTTGCTGACAGTAATCTGTCTAGAGGTAACCAAGGAGGATAAGGAGACGTTCAAAACAAATCTGGAAAGCGTCTTGTGGTTCTCTGAAGACGTTTCATCAGTGCGCGGGATGAAAGCAGAAATTGCAGAACGAGAAAAGTTCAGCACAGTTCAAATCTGACGAGTCAGGTACACTGACACTCTCTTTCGTTCGACGCCACAAGGATCCCCTGTTTGGCTGGCCATTGCTGCCAGTAAGACGTTTGAACGGTTTCATCAGAGCGAGGGATGAAAGCAGAAAGCGGAGAAAGAGAAAAGTTCAGCACAGTTCTAATCTGACGAGTCAGATACACTGACACTCTCTTTCGTTCGACGCCACAAGGATACCCCTGTTTGACTGGACAAGAGCTGCCTGTACCACCGTGTCAAAAGGCTGTCCAACTACATGACAGGACGATGACTGAGGTAAGGAAGCTTTTACTCGTTTCGATTGGTCTGCTGTTCTGTCGTTATGCTTGAATTTGTTTCCATTTTCAAGGAGCGTATCGTGTTTGTTTGATGTTGCTTGAATGAATGCCCTAAAAGTAATCAACCACTTCGTATAAGTCCTCAAGGACTGCAAGGACTTTGCATCAATCGTATACGATCGTCTAGCTATCATCAATTATTATAATTATTTCATGAGAAATGTATTTTTATCCCTGTGAAAATTATGTGAAACTCCACGACACTCTTCCTCTACAAATTATAGTATGATGTCAAATACAATGGGATCCACAAACGCAGTGCCAGTGTACTAGTAGTAGTAGGAGGATTGCTTGTATGCCAATGACAAGAAAAAGCTTCAAGCTAATACTCGTATTCCATGAAGTAACCGTTTTGATGTCACGAACATGACATTGTGTCAATGAAACTGCCTCGTGACAACAAATCATTGCATTTCCATCTTGGGGAAGACTGACTGACGGCAACGCTTTACAGATTGTTCAAATCATCTCATTTCAATTTAGTTGCAGTGAAACACTGTGTACACTACATGTATGGTGGTGTGTCTGTGCGTCTTGAGTGTGCACAAACGATCTTATTCCTCGTATTACTAATAGATTATTGTCCCCACCGTCACCTGTTCACAGGTCTTTGAGTGGATTGATTTTCATTGAGCATCACATTCGTTGAGAACTTGGTAGTTGTGTGCTCCCATGCATCATTACGTTAATAAGCGTATCCTTGTGCTATATATTTGTTGCAGGTGTGCTGATCTTCAGAAGCTTGCGGAACTGAGTGCTGCTGAACATTTGCATGGCCATGAGCAATGGTGAAGCTTGCTATTGCACTCTCAGCATGTGCTAGTATTCTGCTGACCACTGCACTATGTTACTCTCTTACACTACTACGTGTATGTAAACGTGCGTGTACCCGTCCACGTATGCATTCGTTTCGTATAATTATTTGTTATCCCTCTTGACTTTACGTGTAAATGGGTGGACGTTTGCATGGCTGTTGGAGTTGCGTGTGTATTGTGTCTCTACTCTTTTATTGGTGTTTTCTTGGCGTTCTATAAGTTTGTGTGTGTGTGTGTGTGTGTGTGTGTGTGTGTGTGTGTGTGTGTGTGTGTGTGTGTGCGCAATAGTTTGAAAACAAATAATTGATCCTGGGCTCTCCATTATTCTCTTTCGAATCTTGTTTTTTTCTAGGTATTTTCTTGGCGTTGTGTGGGTGTGTACATGTGTGTGTGTGCGTGCACAATAATTTGGCAACACTGCATGATTGAGATATTGTAATTTGCAGCGTCTGCGTAGAGACCACTTGATTTGAGGATGGTGTTTGTAGGGTTTTTCATGTAGTGAAGTGGCTGCAGTGGCGCCTCAATACATATTTTTTATCTTGAGAAGTTAATGATGTAAAGGATAAGGGAGAGGCCGTTTTCTGGTTGATATTCACTGCTTACAGCAGATCCTATGTCTAATTTCGAACTCGATAGGGGATGCCTAATTGGCTGGACTTTATACAGGGAGTGTTGTCCACATAAAGACTCTTTAATCTTTATAGTTGATTTCAAAATTTGGACTCCGTACAGTTGATTTTGGACCAATGGACTCTACATAGGGGTGAAGCCATTTGGCTGGACTCTATACAGGGAGTGATGTCCATCTAAACTTTGAGCTCACAGTTGATTCCAATTTTGGACTCTGTACTGTGGATTTTGGACCAATGGACTCTATATAGGGGTTGGACATCATATAGGGGCTGGACGCTCTACTGAGTCCAACATATACATTACAACAAAAAGTCTCCAATTCAGAGTCTAATACAAACTTGAAAGAGTCTGCGAACAGTGTTGACTTGTTGTGTCTGGGTGTGTCCCATTTCGCTTTTGGCCTGACCACTTCTGTCTGCAGCCCTGACACCGAAAGTGGCATATTCTAGCTCATCAACATCAATTACTGCGATTTTTACTGCCTACGAGCCAATAACAACGGAATTCTGCGTGAACTCCAGCAATATAGGCGTACACTGTGGCAATAGTTCAATCATGACTATACCTGGCCTCAGCCCGTACACTGTCTACTCAGTGTTCGCATACGTCAAAACAAGCAACATACGCTCACAGTCCACGGCTGCAGTGACGATCAGGACCAATGCTACAGGTAAATTCTTGGTGTTAGATAAACCTTGTTTTGTTGAAACATGTTGCTGGGTAGCTGTTTCCGAACACGGTGGTCCTCCACCTTGCTACATGCTGTCAACCAACAACAAGGTAAATACTTGTACAGTGTAACCTGTCTAAGACGACCGCTCAAGGGACCTTCAAAATGTTGCCTCTGATACCAGGTGGTCGCCGTGTTCAGGATCATTTCACTGGAAATAGCATCCCTTGGTCCTGGTTGCGGTGGTCCAAACAGAAGAAAGTAAGTCATAAGCCAATACGCGCTAAACTGATATGCAATTTGATTGTGTTCACCTCCCATGCGCAGCTCCAATCGCTGCACCAGGCAACGTCACAATGTTGACCCCAACAGCAATATCTATAAACCTCAGCTGGACTGCTGTGGACCCATACAAGCTGAAGGGCGGACTGGTTGCGTATCACATCGATCTCTTTCTTCCGAAGGGCTGTATCGTTACTTCAACCAAGACAAATAACACCCACATCTCAGTCGGCGGGTTAACATTTGGCACAACATATACCGTATCAGTGACGGCCGAGTCAACGGGAGGCCTCAGCAGCTACAAAAGTAACTTGCAAGTCTCCACAATTCAGGATGGTAAGGTTGAATAGTACCGTTATAACTATGTGTACAAATGAGAATCCGGCGGAACAAACAGTGATTTTAAAATGTCTCTACTCACGAGTTTCATGGAAACGCAATCATCAGCAGACTGGGGCTATACTCGGGTAATTATGCATAACGTCTTGCTAAATTCTCTGATATCTAATAGGTGCAGGCATTGCAATGAGAAAATGAAAGGACATCAGTATGAATGTATTCATGCGCAGTCACAAGGCAATAGTTCCGAGAGGATTCAAACGTTTTCTTGTGCCACTCATCAGGAGTCAATCCCCAAATTGGTGTGAAGTTGAAGAAGAACATATCGGCATCCCCGCATGCAAGTGTGGCGGAATTGCCACTCTCGCGTATGCCAGTCAGATGCAGAGTATGAAGAGAGAGAGGGAGAGATAGAGAGGGAGAGAGAGAGAGAGAGAGAGGGGGGGGAGAGGGAGGGAGATAGAGGGAGAGAGAGGGAGAGACAGAGGCAGAGACAGACAGACAGAGCGAGATTGAGCGAGAGAGAGGGAGAGAGAGATATAATGTCATACATCTTGAAATCCACTGATTGGACGGTGCATACTTTGAGTATAAGTAGTAAAAAATAGGTATACCCCTGCATGTACTTCAAAGTATTCAGAGCGGTGCTCGGTTGGGGCTGGGATGGATAAGGAGGGGGGAGCCGGCTGTTTACAAAGTTGAATCATACACAACCCTCCAGAGCACTGGAGAAGATGACCATGTCCGCAATTCTTTTCTTCACAGTGCCACCACCTCCAAGCATCAGATATCACCTATCAACTGCAACAACAATAATTGTAATATTTGAGACACTCAGTGGCCATTTTACAATTGACCAATACTGCTGCATGTGGAACCGTACGACAGTATCCGGTACTCACTTGCCAACAGCACCTACAATAACCTGCAGCAACGTCACATCCATCGTACTCGACAACCTGGATGAGGACTCCACGTACACTCTAATCGTGTTTGCTGTCAACACTGCTATGGATAACAGCTCACATTCAACACCGTTCAACCTCACAACTCAACCTGCAGGTGAGTTGAACGTTAAATACCTTATGAAATATGAACCAGTGTTTTCACACTGGCCGGGCGTTAAGTGCAACATGGAGACAGGGTAGAGTGCGGGAAGAGAAAATTCGCGCAAGCAAAGTAAACATTAAAAAAGCATGACTCACTAGTGTTCGTGCATGTGTGTGTGCCTGCATGCGTGTGTGTGTGTGTTTGAGGGGAGGGATTAGAATTGCCGGGGATACATATTCACTTTGTTGTACTTATGGAGCCTCAAAGTTCGGAAAATTGTGCCTTTTCGTACCTGCAGGTGGCCATTAGTACAACAAAATACATGAATATCCCCATACCAAGATGACCATGCATGCTAGAGATCAACATGGAAAGGAGAAAAAATGACTTCTTCTATTCATTAGTTGATTTCTTTCGTAAACAGATTTTTTCATTGCCAATTTATTTTGAGTTACCTTTGAAAATTATCATGTTCAACTGTCTTCGTAATCGTCATACTCGTCCAACCGATGTCACCCTCACCCTGCGAATAATTAGCTCATGTCTCCGGTAGCTCCATCTCTCTTTGCACCATGACCGAACATCAACTACATTGTATACCCCATTTTTTTTAATTATTAGAGGAATAACCATAGCTTGCACAGTCGATGGTCTCCTCCAGCGCGCTTCTCTGCACACCTTTGCGGAATAGTTGCGAAGTAGTTTGTGAAAAATGAAGAAAGTTGCGATTTCTTCCAAACAACGGAAAGTTGCGAAAAAGTGGCGAGCATCTTTGGCCAGCGGGAAAGGATTACTCCGAAACCTTTACCATGCAGTCCACCAGCACTGATCAGGTGCATTGTACACAATTGTGTAGCTTACATACTAGAATTGTGGTACAATCATGTAGTTATGTTCCTACCTCCTAAAGGATGCCAAATTATGCCAATAATTATGCCAGCATAATCCGCCGGTGCCTAATTAGAAAACTTGATGCATTGTAATATGCAAGGCACTGTATTTTTTATTTGTACTTCTGGATTTTATATCGGCCTTAGCCTAAATCGAGGGAGTCTGTTATACAGATCATCCCCCCCCCCCCCCCCTCGGTGAGTAAGAGAATGGAATGGCTCTTTACCAGAACATTCCAGTTTAGGGAGCGTTGCAAGGGCACCGCATGTATTTAATGTCATTTCGTAGGGATTGCTTTCACAACCATTCCTCCACCTTATTGCTATAAGTCGAAATATTTACATTTTGAGCCCTCAAGTGATGCTTTGGGGCTCTTTGCGCAATGCAGATAGGAGTGAAGAAATGGAAAAGGTGGGTCCCAGTTCGCAATCCTAAGGTGTTTGTGAAACGTAAAGGAGTCAGCAATTTTCCAGTGGCTTGTCAATCCAGCTTGTGGGAAGCGTATTGTGGAACAGTCTCTCGGCCGAACTTCGATCCATTGGAGAGAAGAAACGATTGCGTGATGCATTGCGCTCGCAAGACCTGCTTATTCTCCCAGTTGCCTAAACCGCTTTTTGTACTGTGCCAAAGATCTGGATCTTCCTCCTGCTTCTTAATCTATACTACATTATCCTCTCCATTCTATCTCCCTTCCATGCCTGTTTTTTTCTCCCCTCCCCATTCTCTTTCTGCCCCTCTCCTCTTCTAAGTCGTCTCCTTGTGAGAAGGCACCATTGCCTGTTTGGTTGAACAACTATACATAAAAGCACAACAACAATAACATGTAATGGAAAGCTGTACTCCCTAAAGTGACAAACTGAACATAACTGAGAAGCTAAGTTTTGACAGCCAATTTCAGCTGTTAATATTCATAGCAACTTACTAGCCCTTGTATGCCTTGTTTGCATCATGCTTTATATAAATATTTCTTGCCTCAACCAGCCCCATCGGAGCCACCCGCATCTGTGAACATCACGGATGTCAACAGAACATCACTCACTGTAGTATGGGATGAAGTACCCTTATTTGGTCGCAACGGTCCAATCACACAATATCTAGTCCAGTACAACAGCCAGGAACAACGCGTTGGAAGTGATCAGCTCTCGCTCAGATTGGATGGCCTTCAACCTAACAAATACTATACGATCAGCGTGTCAGCTATTGGATATCAATGTGAAGAAAGACCACCGAAACGTGGAGCAGGTGATAAAACAATTGAAGCTGGTGAGTATATCAACTGATTTTCCCGGCAGAATTATGCAAATCCATGACCGCCGATGTCGCAACATACTAGATCGTAACACATGTGCAAGCCAAGATAACAGTTTTGAGGTATTTTGGTTAGGGGTAACGGGAAGGAGGTGTAGGAGGAATTCTTGCAGTGAAACGTACCTCTTAAAAATAGGTGAAACTGCTGGAAAGAAATCCCTTTGGTTTACATTTATGTGTAGGTGCACACACTTGAGAGGAACCAAGCAGCGTTTCTGCTGTAACTCTGAGTTTCACGGTTTTAACCGATCATCAGACAGCAACTTGACTACAATTTTCAGAAGATATGATTGATCTAGGCTGCAAGCTTGGATCATAGCACGAATAGATGATCCGAGTTTGTATATGTATGTGTACATGTATGTGGATGTGGATGTCTCGCAATGCGGTCTAGTACCTGATGCGCCGACAATCACACTGACCTCAACGCCAACCAGTGTGAAGGCGGACATCGTGTCCAATTCGCCAGACTGGAATGTTACGCGATACTGTGTCAAGGCTGCTGCCAAGGCAACTGGGGACAATCAGGTGATACCGCCTTCTCAGTTGCCACCGACTGTACTGAATTGCACAGATACTGGTACAATTGAGATTTACAACCTCCAAGAGTTTGTTCTCTACACAGTGAGCGGCTGGGTGCTGAATGGTAGAGGAGAAGCTGGCACTGCGACCGTCAAAGATCATAAAACTCTACAGGCAGGTAAGCACGTTGCATTGTGGTCTGTGTGCTGCTTAAAGTGCGTGAGTACATCTCTGCTGTGTGGCAAAAGATGTGTAGAACGTGATCATGGCAGGTGTAAAGTGGAACCAACATGGCCGATATCATATGACCGACACATGTAGATACGGCACGTAGGGTAGGAGTGTAATTGGAATCAACATGGCCGTCTCGTATGGTCCAGTGCTACATGCACAGCAGGTCTACAGGGTCATACAATAAAGGATCAGATTCTCTTCAATATAGCCAAGCATTAACCTGGCAAAGCCAAACAGATCTTTCACCGAAGGTGTCAAATTGCTCCTGGCACCGTACATGCTTTCTGACTTGTTCTTATCAGGCTTGTATGTTTCCTTTCTAGTGCCAAGTCAGGCTCCTGCAGGACTCACTGTCACGGACATCACGGACACCTATGCTAAGTTCCGGTGGAATGCCATTCCCCTACTGGAACGGAATGGAGTAATCAGATCCTACCAAGTGAGTATCACTGCTATCTCGCCTATCCGTGGATCTGTGAGACTGGCTTTCGTTGCCCCTGCTCTCAGTGGAGACATTGGACGGTTGAAACCATACACGACCTATGAGGTCGTCATTGCTGCTGAAACTACGGTTGGTCAAGGTCGCTTGTCTAATGCTACGTCATTCAGGACGAAGCAAGCCGGTAAGAACATACATGGATATGGACCTTGGGTTCTTGTAAACTGACATAGAGGCCGGCAGATGACTTGCCTGTAATGCTATTCCTTTAGCAGTTCATTTCTGCATCCCACACGAAACACATATTGTGCAAGGCCGACCCTTATCTACTGTGATACCGTGCGGAGTCTATATTTTTTCTCCACAAATGCCACATATCTCCAGACACTGGGGTGAATAATGGAGTGTGGTGGCGGGGCCCATTAAGCTCAGCCGACCAGAGGTCTCGGCTTCATAGCTCCATGGACGCACCAAAGGGAAATCGGGTAGGGAGGATTAAGTTGAAAAAGAAAACAGAAGAAAGAAAATGAAAAGATTGTACAGTGAGCAAAAGAATGAGTTGAGTACGCTGTTAGACTTTATATTCAAGAGGAGACTGTCTGTGAGGAGAGATTATGTCCAAGCAGGGTAGGACACTGTACCCTCTTACTCGCGTATGCTATGAGTGGCCCAGTGCCAGTTCGTTCTGAGGAGATGGTGATAAGCTGCTGTCTTGAACTTTTGGATGTTCTTTGGGTGAAATGGGTGGGGAATGATAGAGGCAGGCAGCTGGTCCTACATGGGGATAACGGAGTGGGGAATGGCTCGGCTCACATTGTTCCGGGAATTGGCAGGATCTCTCTCATCTATAATAGCTTTGAATAGTTTACCTGAGAAGATAATCTTAATTAAAGGATTTGTCTAACTGCAACAGTGTAAGAAATGTAAAAGACAGGGAGAACTTCAAATTCCATGTGAACAGTCAGGGAAGTGAACCGCCTGAAAACTGAAAAATCCAAACCCCACCAGGACTTAAGCCTGGGACCAAGTTTGAGTCTTGGTGAGGTTGGTGCTTTTCTGGCTGCCCACTTCCCTATTCCCAATGTTCACATCTATTCAAATTCATATCAACAGAAAAACGGAGCTTTTTCGGGTGTGCAGCGCTACGAGAATGGGTGTGGCCACCAGAATTCCTTACTTCATACTTCTCATATTCCCGTGTAACCTGCAGCCCCAAGCATTGGACCTACAGTGATCAGCTCCACGTATGTGAATAGCACTGCTCTACGACTGACCTGGAAAGCGCTTCAAGACCACGAACTCAACGGTGTCTTAGTACGCTATGATGTCAGGATTTCTGGCCCAGAAAACAACACACGAGTTTACAACGTGGCTCCTAGTGTCACAACGCGCATCATACCCAACCTTAACATCAACACAGTGTACGGTATGTCTGTGCGGGCTGTTAACCAGGCTGCACCTGGACCGTTCAGCAATCCAGTGTTACAACGAACAGATGAATTCAGTAAGCGGCAAAACTATTCTATATTTCAAACTAAGAAAATTGCAATGGTACTCTCTCGCAAACTCTCTCTCGCTCTTTCAGGACTTAATTTCAGCTCTGCCCCTAATTGTGTGTATTTAATGCAAAACTGGCCTTTCTTTTGGATTTATTTCATTAAATTTTCTTGTCTCAATGAAAACTGTCTTACTAAACTATTTTTAAAACAGTACAGTTCAACAAAATCCGATTTGTTGGAGTCTAATTTGCACCAGTACACAGCCCAGTGTTCACACTTCTGTCACTGGACTGAACGCCCAAAAGGTCATCAACTCGCACGGTCCATTTCCTTGAGACGCACTGTAGTTCCAAAAGAGTACAGTGTTGAGGAGGCAGGCGCCTTTTACCATAATGCGAACTAGGACGAATTAGGACCCACAATGCATGTATGCCATTACAGCTGCATACCAAGCACTTAGAAGTTGCGACTTCGGCCGTCAAATACCAAGCACGGACTTGATGCATTTTACGCACAGTGATACTGCATGACCCCATTGAATGCGTTTCACCCCTACCAATAGTCTTGAGACAGCACTGCACTGGATTGCGCCGCAATATTTGTTAATTAAATTTAGAAACGAATATGGTCAGCCCTGAACAGTACCGCCTATTCGCAATACCTGTGGCATGTCATGCATGCTACACACCGGTACCTGGAGGACTGTTGACGTGCGAAATACGCTTTTTTAAGAACTCCCACACCTTTGGATAATACGTGCTTCTATGTAGGGACAGACATTGACTCCGTATTTCTACACAAAACCATATGGGTGTGGCAATGGTCCATTTCCAACAATTTACCCAAGCCAGGGCGACAAGACAGAAGGGTGTTTGAAATCATTTTCAATGTCCTTGAGACAAAAATATATAATTATTATGGAAGATTCATGTGGAGGAATACACAACGTCTGACACCACATTGATAATAACATAATATTATTGTTTTATGTGCGGTTCATATTGTTTTGTCTAATTTTGCAGCTCCCGATGCTGTTACAAACGTCAGCGTTGAGTTCGAGACAAACACTACCAGTGTGACTGCCATTGTCTCCTGGACGCCGCTGACAGAGAGCAGGGGAATCATTACTGACTATACGATTTTCTACAGTGAACTTAACTCAACAGAGGAGGCGCAGCTGAATACTTCCATGAGCGATCTGACAGGTTACAAAACAGCAACCGTCTCTGGGAAGGAGAGCAATGCATTGATTCATGCAATAGTAGAACGGACACCCTGTGCGTTTGTTCTAGTTGCAAGCACCAGAATTGGTCCGGGTCCGGCAAGTGAGCCAGTCTTCTCACCAGGAGCTGCACTGTGTAAGTCGCTGTTACACTCAATCTGCGTACAGAACTGCTTCGTCTTTAGTGGACTCATCAGCACAGCACAGTCGCTGCTACATTAACTCTCTCAAAACCACACTCATAGCTTATCATCAGGTGGTTGAATGTCTGTATCACATCAGTCAGCATTGTGCTAGCTGTTACACCTTCTGACTACACAACATCTTACTTATACCTGTTAGTGTTAGTGTTAGTGTTAGTGTTAATGTTATTTTTAGTGTTAGTGTTAGTGTTAGTGTTGGACACAAACTACAGATAACATGTAACGCTTTGGTCCTTTCTTTTAATTTCATAGCTAAACTTTTTTGACTATCTACGAAATCGGACGCATACGCTGCGGACAATCCTTTTGGGAAGCTTCTATGAGTGCCAAGTGAAGGGTGGGGAGAACATGCTCTACTCTATACTAGTAATCAGGAGTGCTTTGGACTCGTTAACTTATGGCTGTTTCCGCTAATCCTATCCACAACAGTGAGAATTCAAGTCGGTAGGAAAAGCGCGAGCTCCCGCTTAGGGAGAAACACACATTTCCCCGAGTATCACCGAAATCGCACCAACCTCTTCTTCACATATCCACAACACAGTCCAATATGGCTCTGTTCTCTTCTTGTAGATCCTGGCCAGCCAAGGCAGATCGAAACCAGATTCATTGATCACAGCACAGCCGAGCTGACTTGGAAACGCAGCTTAACAGGAGGCAATCCAAGCAGCTACAGAATGTTTGCGTTCTATGAGGAAGATTATGTGGAAGAGCAACAGCAGCAGCATCGTCGTCATCGCAGTGTTGAGTTGAATGCTACCCTGCTGAATATCAGTCAGGTAAGGACTAACATATTGTTTGCATCTGTAGATGTGAACGAGATTGAGTGTGCCGTGTTGTATAATGGGGTACTAGCTGTGGTAGTACTCATTAGCAACAATCCGAACTAGCGCATACACCGCGCTGCATTACTCTGTGCTGCCTTCAAGACTGACGCCATGCACTTTGCTTTGCTGCGTAATCACAAATGGCACCCAGCTTGTTTTACTGAAAAGAAAACAAATCCTGCTTGCCCTGTTGTGTTCCTCCAGACAGCAGATCGTGCTTCCGCAGTGTTGCTTTTCCCACCATCCCTCCCTATCCAACTTATTCACACAATCATTATGATTATCGTACCCACTGATCGGGTCCACTCTCACAACTGGTGTCATCTAGCTATTTGCTGCAGCTCTGTCTTGAGCTATATTACATCCATTTAGCATTGCAGCTCTACTTTGAGCTAACAGCAGCTCTACTTTGAGCTAACAGCAGCTCTACTTTGAGTTAACAGCAGCCCTACTTTGAGCTAACAGCAGCTCTACTTTGAGCTAAAAGCAGCTCTACTTTGAGCTAACAGCAGCTCTACTTTGAGCTAACAGCAGCTCTACTTTGAGCTAACAGCAGCTCTACTTTGAGCTAACAGCAGCTCTACTTTGAGCTAACAGCAGCTCTACTTTGAGCTAACAGCAGCTCTACTTTGAGTTAACCGCAGCTCTACTTTGAGCTAACCGCAGCTCTACTTTGAGCTAAAAGCAGCTCTACTTTGAGCTAACAGCAGCTCTACTTTGAGCTAACCGCAGCTCTACCTTGAGCTAATAGCAGCTCTGACGTTACTTTGAACTAACAGCAGCTCTACTTTGAGCTAACAGCAGCTCTACTTTGAGCTTCAAACCAGTTGTTTCGAAACCAGCACCCCTCGATCCAAAGATGCCGCTTTGTTGACTTGTTTGTGTGAGGGACGGGGGCTAATGAAAATACGTGTGTGTGTGTGTGTGTGTGTGTGTGTGTGTGTGTTTGTGTGTGTGTGTGTGTGTGTGTGTGTGCGTGTGTGTTTGTTTGTGTATGTGTGTGTGTGTGTGTGTGTGTATGTGTGTGTGTGTTGGCATGTAGGCGGGTTTCAACCTTTACTATATTTTACCACGGAGTTTATGCCAACCCTGGTCAGGAATATGGCTGAAAACAATGGAGCAAACTTTTGGCGAGTGATTGAATTTTGCAATGATGGTCAAAATGATCAAACTTTGTGATCCGACATTCGATGAATACATGGACTAACTCTTGCTTCACTTTCCTTCTCTTTTTGAAATCGCATACTCCTGTAGGATGTAGGAGGCGAAGAGTTAACAGGGCGCATTGGAAACCTCCCCGCTGGAAAGCACTACGCATTTGACGTGATTGCAAGGGTGGATTTCAGTGGCAACGTCTTGACGAGTCCGAATACCCTTGACTTCAGCAACATGACCACTACGTACCTGCAGCCTCAAAGTGAGTACAGTGTCCTTGTGTAGGAAAGCGCCAGTGTTTGTTAAAAGAGTACAATCTACCATATTGTCAAAGTGGATTTTAGTAATAGGTTTTCCATTTGACCCGACGAGACCACACGACGCTTGCAGACAACAGCACGAACAGTTCACCAGCCACACTCCACGAAAGTCGTGTGGTCTCGCGGGTCAAATGAAAAACCTATTACTACTATTTGACGGACCTATGGAAGATGGCAACAGAGAATTAAAGTGCATTTTGTTGAAATATTATTGATACTACAATACTTGGCACAATCTTTATTTAATCGTTTGTGCTTGTGCTGTCATGTACATGTAGCAATGCACTCGCCACGACATGCTTTGCACTTCTCTACGCGCGCTGTCACTAGGTTCCGCGCTTTGCTTCCTTCTTTTATACTGCTGTTTTTTTCCATGTCCACTTCATTCCTGATGATGGTCATTGTGGTCATGAAGACCGAAAAGTTGAAACGATACCTCTAATGGATTTGTGTGACATGCAGTGCTCTCTTGGGTGTGGGCAGGTTGAGTGTAGGCAGGTTGAGTGTAGGCAGGTTGAGTGTAGGCAGGTTGAGTGTAGGCAGGTTGAGTGTAGGCAGGTTGAGTGTAGGCAGGTTGAGTGTAGGCAGGTTGAGTGTAGGCAGGTTGAGTGTAGGCAGGTTGAGTGTAGGCAGGTTGAGTGTAGGCAGGTTGAGTGTAGGCAGGTTGAGTGTAGGCAGGTTGAGTGTAGGCAGGTTGAGTGTAGGCAGGTTGAGTGTAGGCAGGTTGAGTGTAGGCAGGTTGAGTGTAGGCAGGTTGAGTGTAGGCAGGTTGAGTGTAGGCAGGTTGAGTGTAGGCAGGTTGAGTGTAGGCAGGTTGAGTGTAGGCAGGTTGAGTGTAGGCAGGTTGAGTGTAGGCAGGTTGAGTGTAGGCAGGTTGAGTGTAGGCAGGTTGAGTGTAGGCAGGTTGAGTGTAGGCAGGTTGAGTGTAGGCAGGTTGAGTGTAGGCAGGTTGAGTGTAGGCAGGTTGAGTGTAGGCAGGTTGAGTGTAGGCAGGTTGAGTGTAGGCAGGTTGAGTGTAGGCAGGTTGAGTGTAGGCAGGTTGAGTGTAGGCAGGTTGAGTGTAGGCAGGTTGAGTGTAGGCAGGTTGAGTGTAGGCAGGTTGAGTGTAGGCAGGTTGAGTGTAGGCAGGTTGAGTGTAGGCAGGTTGAGTGTAGGCAGGTTGAGTGTAGGCAGGTTGAGTGTAGGCAGGTTGAGTGTAGGCAGGTTGAGTGTAGGCAGGTTGAGTGTAGGCAGGTTGAGTGTAGGCAGGTTGAGTGTAGGCAGGTTGAGTGTAGGCAGGTTGAGTGTAGGCAGGTTTGAGTGTAGGCAGGTTGAGTGTAGGCAGGTTGAGTGTAGGCAGGTTGAGTGTAGGCAGGTTGAGTGTAGGCAGGTTGAGTGTAGGCAGGTTGAGTGTAGGCAGGTTGAGTGTAGGCAGGTTGAGTGTAGGCAGGTTGAGTGTAGGCAGGTTGAGTGTAGGCAGGTTGAGTGTAGGCAGGTTGAGTGTAGGCAGGTTGAGTGTAGGCAGGTTGAGTGTAGGCAGGTTGAGTGTAGGCAGGTTGAGTGTAGGCAGGTTGAGTGTAGGCAGGTTGAGTGTAGGCAGGTTGAGTGTGGGCAGGTTGAGTGTAGGCAGGTTGAGTGTAGGCAGGTTGAGTGTAGGCAGGTTGAATGCAAACTATTTCAAGTGTAATGAAGCTGCGTGAAGCGTCCTTCAAAATTTTGAATCTTTATTTGATTAGAAGAAATCACATGGAAACTAGTTGTGAAGCAACTATCCAAGTTAAATTTACAATCGTTATTAGAGAAATTGAAAAAGTGATGATTGTGAAAAATAAATAGATACCACTAAAAGACTACGTCGCTACTTGCTACTGTAGCGGCTTATCTGCTTTGTTTCTTTCTTTTCTCGAGGCACTGAACTATGTGTAATAGGATGCATCTTATAACGTTTGATTCACAGAAAAACCTTGGGCTTGACTACCGGTAACAGTGTTAAATACACGGCGTGCAGAGCTTACATGTAGTACAAATGAAAATCCAGTGGAACAAAATGTGACTAAATGTCTCTACTCACGAGTTTCATGCTGAAAATCAATCATCATGAGACGGGGGCTATACTCGATTCCATTGTCTTCGGCATGCTGTCAACTGCATTATGATGGCCATGCTTTTGACGTTTTAGCTTTCATCCTGATGATGGGTCATCATTGAAAATGAAAATTTGAAGCGGAACTCACCGAACAAAGCCTATGAATTTTAGAAGAAGATGCGAGAGAGTTATGACGATGTGTACTTGGCTGCAGTGCAGTCCACGAAAAATCGGCGGCGAAATTGACTTTAAAAATTTACCCCGTGAATCAATAAAATACGCTGATCTGGACTCTAAATTTCCAAAATTTTCCGCTCAGCCATCCCTCCCCCCACGAGGAAACTGAACCTCAAGTGACTGACCGTACCACACTAAATACCTTCCGACATTGCCCCTGCATATCCATATAGCTTTTTCCTTTCTAAAATCATCAGAATGCAGTTCAAGGCAGGCAGCAGATAATGTGACTTATCTTTCAAAACATACACTAATATACGGTGGGACCTGAAAGCGGCAGCTACTAAAATGGATCAACCCATTTTGGACACCCACCCGTGCCATCTTGAATGCGACAGCCGAGCAATGTTTAAAAATATTGCTCGACACCCGAGCAATATATTATGTATTATTTTAGAAATTATCCGTGGTGTATGGGGACCATGCCATTGTACTGGACATATGAAAGATGGGAAATTTCCATTTGTGCAGGAGAGGGGGAGGGCAGGGACTCCACTGCATGCTTACCTTGCGTATGGAGCAGTCACTTCCAACATTTACAATCTTACTCTAACAATATCTGCTCTTTTCCTCTGCTCCTTGCGCTGTTTCAGTTGAACAAGGAACTAGCAACACCACAGGCTTGGTTTTGGGAATCCTAGCATCTCTTATTCTGCTCTCTTTCATCATCATTTTTGCACGAAAATACCGCAACAAAGCCAAGTCCGAAACTGGGGGCGGTGGTTGGGCTTCACCGGGAACTTCATTCATCTTCATGAAGAAACAGAGCGCAACGGCGATCATTGACAAAAGCGCACCAGCAGATGAGGAAGAGACATTACAAACCGAGGACAAACGATATGGTGAAGTGAGAGTCGAGGGTTCTAAGAAGAGTGTGCCAGCTTATATAGAGGTGACTGAAAATCCCTCAACCTTACCCCGGGATATGGCTGAGCCCATGGCAAAGAGTATTCCACTTTACTTAGACGCGTTTGATGGTCCTTCAACCCAACCCAGCGGTGTGGCGGAGGTGGTGGAAAACAGCGAGCCTGCCTATCTAGTCTTGATGGAAGGTCCTACCAACCACGTGCAGGATATGGGCGAGGTGAAGAAAAGGATTGAGCCTGCCTATATCGATGTGTTTGGACCCCCTTCTAGCCTGCTCAACCCGGTCATTGTCACAGACATCTGGGAAGCTTCTGAAGGTGATGGAGTGTATGACACACATGCCGGAACTGAAGCAGATGGAGCCACAGATGTGACAGGGGAACGATCTCCATCATATATCGACGTGTCAGAGATCACATTTAACAACGCGCAGGATGCCACAGCAACAGAAGGACGTGGTGAAGTTGCGAAAGATGAAGCTTCCCAGGAGATAGCCGAGAGCAAAAGAAACCAAACGGCAGATGTGACGAAGAAACGTGCGCCACTCTATATCAATGTTCCCGGACACCAGTCGCGGCAAACCCAGGCAGCCACGGCGACAGAAGGAGCTTGTGAGACTGGTCAAGATGATGTGATTCAAGACAACGGAATTGAAGATGACCCGTACGATAACCCGCAGGTGATGAACACGAGCGCATCACATTATGTCAACATTGCAAGGATCCCGTCACGTCACCGTCAAAGCTTCACTTTCACACAAGGAGTTCATGACACCGCTGAAGACGATGATGTGTATGAGAAAACACCTTGCGATGGTCTTGGTCGCGACCTGGGTGCCTAAGCACAGGAAGAAAGCATCTCTCTCTCTCTCTCTCTCTCTCTCTCTCTCTCTCTCTCTCTCGCTCTCTCTCTCTCTCTCTGTCTCTCTCTCTCTCTCTCTGTCTCTCTCTGTCTCTCTGTCTCTCTGTCTCTCTGTCTCTCTCTCTCTCTCTCTCTCTCTCTCTCTCTCTTGTTCTGGCAGTCTGTTTGCAGTAGTTTCATTACAAATCTCAACATCCACATCAAGCCACAAGCGCTAGCAAGCGCTAGCAAGCTACTGCATTGACCGGCACACTTGTAATTGTTTTCTGTTTTTGTTCTTTTTCACTTCAATAACACTGTTTTGCACTGCTTCGGTCAAAATGGACCTGGAAATGTTCCTTGGTTGGCCAACTAGTTTGTACTGACAATGTAATAATAAAGATAGGAACACCGCATTTGCAAGAGCGCAGGTTAATATTCACAGAGATAACTGGTGACCATTAATTTTGGACTTTGCTCGTTGGCACCAATATTGCGCATTTTTCTTATCATAAAAAAGGAGCGTACTGCTTTGGCCTATTTGCTCCCTATCGTATCGACGATCGAAAATTTACTCAATCGCATTTCTTCCTCATTTCTCATGCATTCTTGAGCACAAACGAGGGGTAACATTGCTATCGAAACTTTACTCACCACTTCCAATTTGATGTGTGATGTCATCTCCAAGACACCCTTCCCTTCCTTGTGCTCTGCGTTTCCTTTGCCTGCATGCATAGTTACCCATGGCATTCATCCCTGTTCAGTTTTCCAATTACTATAATGTTCTAATCAATATGGAATGCAATTGCACAAGGCTTGCTGGCTCTTGCTATACTTTTTCTCCTCTGTTTCCTCGCGAATGCCCGCTCATTGCATTGTTTCCTATTCGCGTTGTTTACTTCAAAGTGAAATCCAAAACAATCATCTTGGTTATGCTTCTTGATCAGCCCAGTAATGTTTAACATAATAACAGGCTTTATAAAACAGCCGCACAAGAATAGATCATTGCCTGGTTTCTTCTTCTGGTTTTTCATGTCTCTATCCATCTCTTTATATCCCTAGCTGCTTTCGGTGTGTTGGGTGTTCGGTCTCAACGCCTCTCCTTCTTCACGTTTCTTCTCTTCTCCGTAGCGTTCTCCTGCTATGGAAGGGCTGCATTTGGCATCACCAGTACAGATGAATACGCTCATAATAACTAACGTGATATAACCAAATCCACTGCTGTCCAACTGTATTCATATTTTGCTGTTGTTCCCCGTTTCTCTGCATGGCTGTGCACATTGATAGATTAATGAGTGAATTATATCCAAGTAATAGGATGGCTCAACTGCCTTCGTCTTGCTGCTGCTGTTGCGCGAGTTTGCCTAAGCCGATGATGGCAGCTTCATCTGGATAATGTAGTGCTTGTCAGGCAAACACTTAGCATGGCATGGTGGTGCGGGTAGATGAAGTCCTCTATCTATATAGCTTTTATCCAAGAGTCTTCACAAGTGCTCTGCGCAATTGAGCCAGCCTGTTTCAGTGCTCGAAGCACGCTCTGTGACTACGACAAAAGCACAAGGTCATGACGACAACTTAAAAAAACCATACCTGTTGGGTTGCGATGAAAGGTGTGTTCAGACTGGATGCCATAGCCTTGGACCCAGCGATAATGCTAATATTGCAGCAGCAGCAGCAGCCCAGAGACAGTTCACAATTACCATGGCTAGGGATGTAGCTGTAGGGCTGCATCATGTGAATGGCTGCCCTGTAGATAACACAAAAGGATTTCGCTCGAGACTCAAAACTTCTCTTTGGAACATTCTAAGACGCTCCGGTTTTTTGCAAATGAATGGTGGGTCTTTCTAGCTTCTTTTGAGACCAAAATGGTGCAGATGCGATCATAAATAAGTGAGTTACAGCTTGTTAAAGTCACCGACGGATAGCCGTCGATATTTTTGACTGGCCAGTCGGATAAGGCTTGTAAAACCCTTCATGTACTGAACAATGTGTGGAAATTCCACAATTCTCCGAGTCATAACTACTTTGGTCCCTTGTTTTGCTGATTATTGCGATTTTGGGCTTCCTGGAAAGCTCGTCGCAAGAGGAACACACTGATCCCACACTTGCCAACCTCTCTATTGACACTGTATCTGCAGTTCCGCTGCGTGAAATCTAACCCAACGTGACGCCCTGGACATTCACGCGTGCACGTACACGTACCAGTAGGCAGTACCCTGATGTACTAGGAACTGATTTACATAGTGTGCCAGCTTGTTAACTGTAGGCTGGGACTTCACTGAGCTCTACTGTACTAGTAGGTTTCCACGCATACCTTCCGCAGCCCTCAAAAGCCAGCACGTACATGTGTAGTGTATACTACAATTACTGATACATTTACCACCCTGTCTTTTGATTATGTGGTGTGGATTTCATTAGGTAACGGTCTCTCCATTACCTTCTCACATATTCACGTACACCGTGCAACATAATACCGGTACTACTAAGCCACCCCACCGCCTGGTGCCCGCTACACCCTCGCAACTTCAGTAAAATGCAATCCCATCAGTTTGCAACGGATTGCAGCGCTGACAGCATCACAATCTTTAAGAAAACATCGCGGCCATCTTGCTGTAAATATCCTCAACTCAAATGTCCATAATACATCAAACTAATAGCAGTAAATGACATTGTCTGTCTCAGGAGTGTTCGGGGATGTCAGTGCAAGAGAGAAAGTAAAATGTTTATCACTATTGCCTTGCCCGTGTGCAAACTCAGTGCAGATGTTACGTAGTCACAAACCCAGCAGTACACACTAAAATGACCAGGCTGAACTTCGCTTTACGCATCAACATCACGGAAAGTTTGTAACTAACGTTAATAGACTAGGGCATCTTTGCTTCGAGGACAATGTGGCGAAGATCAGACGGGTCTTGCCAGGCAGGTGAGTGCACAAGCTGAATTGCACTATATGGTATACAGTCATGTACCTTTAACGTAGCAAAACGAGATACATGTAATAATAATAATAATAATAATAATAATAACACAGATACGCGTACAACATGCACAGCCGTCCTATACATGCTTCCGCTGCTGTTCTCTAGCTCTGTCCATTATGTATGTCAATATCCGGCAGATACATGTACATGTGACAAAAGAACAGGACGTACATTGTAGATAAGACCGAGATGAAGAGCCAAGGGTGGCAATCTTTTTAATTTTACTTCGAAGTAAAAATTAAAAAGAAGGAACCAAAGTCATGAACACTGCTCCGCCAGTACCATGCTTATAATATATTATAGTTTATACTTGAAGTAAGAAGAAAAGAGGACCACCAACAGCACATCTTTGGTTCTCTTTTCTTCTTATAAATTCATCCTTGGCTCTCCATCCGAGTCTAATAAATTTTAGTGTGGGACAAAAAGAAATAACTTGGAAACCTTTGGTACGTGCATGTACATTGTAGTGGAAAGAGGCGGTGATGGTGTATGTGTGCTAGATGAGCTGTGCAGGTGAGGTGAAGTCCATGGCCCCGATCCAGGCTCTCGGGATCAAGGCGCACATGCAGCACGTACCATGGGAGAGCAAGACGAGAATATTGTAAACAAAATAAATTCTTGGATAGTGTTGTCAGGCACGTTCTGTATGACAATCAGAGGCGGGATAGCATGACTTGTCTTCCTCTCCTGTTGAGGAGATACAAAAATGAAGATCAGCGTTTGTTCCGTGGGCTGACAGTGGACAGAGCGTCAAACGAACCCTGATCCGTTCCAAGACAACCAGGCAGAGGCTGCAAATAGCAGTGCGAACAGAAACAACAATCTTCAGAACAAGGTGCGGGGGCCTTTATGAAGACCGTGCATTACATGTACATGTACATGTATTCCCTTGTGCTGTTTCAACCAAGCTGCTGTTTCTGCGAGGACAATTACTTTGTGCTAGTCTACTATTAAACATCGTAAAGGTAGCAAATAGGCCTCGACCAAATATGCTTTTAAAAAAAGAGCATATTATGCTCGTCGCATATCAGGGGAAACGTCCGTAATATGCCAAAGGCTTAGCGAGATATGCAAAAAGATATGCCAAAACATGCCAAAATATGCTCGACATGAGCAGAAAGTGTAGGTCATTTCAGTAAAATTACAACCTTGGAATATTCATTGGCTTCACGGCTATCATGCTTATGGTGCAAATCAAAGCACGTGCGGAATAGTATGGCTTGTGTGTGTCCCCAGCAACCGTAGCGATAGTGTTCATCCATGGGGAAATGTAGCAAACGCCTCAACCAATCCAAATTCATCCATAAAAGGCATTTCTGAACATATTTTGTCCATAATATGAATGTTTTGTCCTCATTTTCTTCAGAATTTTTGAATTATATGCTGGCTTCATTCCAATATTCTGTTTGTTGCTCAATATGCCATATATGAACTGTCACCCAAAATATGCGGAAATATGCGCAAGCATATTTATTTTGGTCGAGGCCTAGTAGCAAACCAGCACAGAAGAATGTCTTCGCTAGATCAAATCTGACCTCGGGATGGAATTCGACCTGCCAGCGCCAGGTGCATTATTTCGAGGGAATCAGATGCTTGTTAGGTCCAGCATATAATTATTATTGTGTCAATCGTGTCCGGAAATCGCCATCCCACCACACGGCGGGCGGAAGCGCTCGCGGTTGTTCAACACAGTCCGTGCACGTGGGAAACAACTGCCCCAGCCTGCTCAAGCTGGCCTGCTAGAGACTACTCCAGCCTACTCTAGCCTGAACCAGCCTACTGCAGCCTAGATCTGACCTGGGCGTGAGAATCTAAACCACCTGTTTGCTCCACTTGAAAACCACCTGGATGGAACCAGCGTGCAGCGTAGTTTACGATTAGTAGGGGCACCAAATGAAATCCGAGCCCATGGCAAAACCTCGTGAACACAAAAGCGTGATCACTGCGCAGCCCAGTACTTGTAGTGCTTGGGCCATGCAGCTTGGAGGATACTTCACTCACGGGATCGGATTTCATTTGCCACTACGGCGGACCTCACGCTCAAAATAGCAACAGTCGTTCGGTGCTTGCAGTGCGTAGATCTACGTATGTTGCCAAACTTACTCAAGTGGTGAAAGTGCAGATGGGGTACTTCTTTCTCAGGCTCTATCTTGTCAGTTGAATGCACATGTACTAGCATCTTATTTCTGAAAGACAGTCGTGATAGTCGTGATAGTTTACCGGTGCTGCAGACAAGTACACAGAGAACGTGTGTCACGTCATGGGGAGGTGTGCAAGCAGCAGAGAGGACGTTGGGGGAGTCAGTCGCGGGGAGGGACAAGCAAATCCGGGAGACTTGGTGAACTCACTTGTAAGTCCGTAAGGCAGAGTGCCGTGGATAATATATAAATGCGCTAATATTAGTATTGTTATGTGTACTTGATTGTCCTTGTTGTTCTATAACGTTAGTACGCTCTGCCTCCGCCATGATGTTGAGCACTGTCAGCACACTAGGTACATACATCCTCCTGTTATCTGTACTCGAACGATTAATGAAATGCAATTTAGAATGTTGCCCTACATTGTACATAATATATCTTTTGCGGGTAAACGTGCACTGCGCTGGTGTTCCCCCAAAACGGAGAGAACAGTTTTTGTGCACAGATCCAAGTCCGCGTCATTTCCATCATCCAGAAATCCATGCTAGTTGCGTTTTTGTTTTCGGAGGTTTATGTACCCAAAGTCAATCTGGAGACTATGGTGTGTTGCGATTGTAGTAGGGCACCGCACCAAAGCGATTGGAGAGAAATAGTAATACACATTCCATTCCAGAAGATCACAGGTATCACTTCAGAAACTGAGGATCGAAACCAATAGTATTGTAGCAAGAAGGACTAATGAGTGTGTGTGATCCCCGGTAGCCTAATCGGTAGGGCACTGTCCCGGAAAGCAGGGGTGCTGGGTTCGATTCCCGCTCGTGGATCATTCTTTTGCAACATTAGCGCCTGGCAATGGATCGAACCTACTACCCATCGTACCTCCGCGAGTAGGTACGGCGTGAGGACACAGCCCCTTGGGGCGGGGAGCAGTGTAGCAAGAAAGACCCATGAGTGTGTGCGATCTTCGGTAGCCTAATCAGCAGGGCACTTTCGCGGAAAGACATAGGTGCTGGGCTCGAATCCCGCTCGTGGATCCTTCTTTTGCAACAGTATAGCATTGGGTACTATGGAACCCTGTTGTCTCTCAAGTAATGCTGTCACTCCCAAAGAGTCTTCATTCAGATCACATTAGTTTAAAAAAATGTTTTTAGCACAGAAAGACTCAAGTGAAGGTAAGACTAAGGGGGTGATTATATGTGCAGCTCCAGCCCGGGCTGGTCGACAGGCGGGCCAGCCCGCCTGCAATGGGATCTCGGGGTTGTACACAAATCCACACAAAACCTGTGGTGCGTTTACATGGCAAGCGGGCTGGCCCGGCGAGGCGGGATCCCGCCTCGAGGCACCCGGGATCCCAGCTAGGCGGGCCAGAAAAAGCACATATAAACAGACCAGCCCGGGCCAGAGTTGTATTATTATGGTGTCGACACTGCGTTCATACTACAAAATAGGTACTTTTACCTCTTGAGGGAAGTATTAGTTATAAAGAGGATTCCCGATATTGTCTTGAAAATCTAGGAAGCTTTTTGTACAGCAACAAGAAGGACGTGCAATGAGCACTGATTATTTGTCGACATGCATGATTTACACTAAAATGGAAGGGGAACTACTTGCAAAATACTTTGATATGGACAGCTAAAAATGTGAAAAACAGGAAAAAAAAAGAGGTGATACAACACACCAAACATGTGTCACAGCGCAAAAATAAATCAGCAGAAGAATACATTGTATGAGAAAAAAAGTTTTTATGTTTATAACCTGACTGTCCTGAGTATGGCTTGCATGCAGCCGTACGTCTCAGCCCGGGGCAGCACATTACAGTCGTAGTGTGTTTGCTGCATACTCACAACGGGCTGGCGTGTGCTCAGCGCATATAAACTCACTGCGGGCTGGCGACCAGCCCGGCCTTGCACATGTAAACACCCTTGGCGGGCTGGCCCGCTCGCTCCAGCCCGGGCTGGAGTTGCACATATAAAAGGCCCCTAAGAAAACGGAAGTAAAGACTGCAACAACTGAACTGGGAAACTGACAGACGGGTCTATATACGGTACGGTAAGTCTATATCTATATACGGTACGGTAAGTCTACTGTTACAACTCCCAGCGCTAGCTAGTGATCTCTAAATGTAAGCAAGGCAGTTACGCATCACTGGCCACTGTGACATAAGGTTTGTGTAGAAGAAAGTCCGTCTACTACAATTGTGGATGCGCACACTGGGCAGGATCCTCTTAGTAGTTCTAACAGGCAAGCTCATGTAGTCAGGTACCCGAAAGACTTTTCCGGATCAGCTAAAACGTGCATGTGTTTTCCACTTTATGGTCTATAATTATTCGCCACAGGCAGCTGGCCTGCCTGGGAGTTTACACTCACGTTCACCAGATGTTAGAGATCATGGAATTTTGCACCAGCTGCTTTTCAGATAGGCAAGATGGAGTCAATTCGGAACTTCATCTTTTGAGCCACACAAGTTGTGTGGAATGTTGCTTTGCATCCTTGAATCGTGGTTTGACTGTATTGTGCAATGGTCTTGCCAGTATAGTCATCGACATGCATGAACATCTGCCAAAGTCCTTCACAGCTGAGACTTTCAGCTCGTGCTTATCTTGGTTGCGCACGCCTTCCCCTCCTCATGTTATTTCTATAACCTAGAACCTTCCAAGTAAGTTTGAAGGCTGTTGGAGTGCGCATCCAAGATGTGCTAGAGCTGTTAGCCAGTTAGTTGTAGAACGTGACCATCGGTCAGTGTCGTGCAATGTCATCGCATGAGCTGATTGTATGTTTAGTAACTGGTGGTGTTAGTGGACATTATAGCGTAACTTGTAGTTCCTTCATCCATTTCTTTTTCTTCATAACTATTATTACATTTCAACTTCCTTCCACTTTCTTCTCTCATCTCCATCTTTCCTCATCTTTCCTTTGGCGGGGAGGGTTCTTCTATGGTTCACACTTCCTTTATCTTCTACTCAATCCCAACCTCCTCATCTAAACTCCTCCTGCCTGCTCCCCCTCTATTTTTGGCAAACTGGTGAACGATTTGCACATTTCTCAATGTACACAGACTCCACGGTAGACATAGTAGTAGTAGTAGTAGTAGTAGTAGTAGTAGATTTTATTATTTTACTAGGGGAGTCCCAACAGGCGTTGCCTTTTTACTGGGAACCCTAGGTGAATTTTTACCATGTTTACATACAGAGTAAGAGACGGGGCCTGACGGCAGTCAGTGGGAAGAGCATTCCATCTGTCTGCCGCCAGGAAAGAAATAGAACGCATGCCATATTGCGTAGAAACAGGCGGAAGAACTAATGCGCGCTGTGCCTGGCCACGCGTGCGAGCCTGGTGTCCAGGCACAGCGGCCCTAAGCTGGAACAAGGATTGGAGAAGGGGACTAGCAAGATGTGGGGTCAAGCAGCGGTACACGAAAACATAGAGTTTAAGATTTATGCGCTGTTCAAAAGAATAGAGATGATATTTGCGGAGAACAATTTCAGTAGACATCCATTATACATACAGTCAAACCTGTAAGTAAAGACCACCGTGACTAGCGACCAGCCTGTTACTAAAGACCACTTCGCAAGGCACGACGGTCCCACATTCATATAAGGTCGTGCAGTGCAAACCTTTCTGGTCCCAATGGGTGGTCGTTAGTCACAGTGGTCGTTATTCACAGTGGTCGTTATTCACAGTGGTCATTAGTCACAGTCACAGTGGTCGTTAGTCACAGTGGTCGTTAGTGGCAATGGTCGTTAGTCACAGTGGTCGTTAGTTACAGTGGTCCATAGCCACAGTGGTCGTTAGTCACAGTGGTCGTTAGTCACAGGAGTCGTTAGTCACTGTGGTTGTTAGTCACAGTGGTCGGTAGTCACAGTGGTCGTTAGTCACAGGTTTTACTGTAACTATACTTCCTCACAACACTCTCCAAGCGGTCTCTGGGCTCAATAATGAATAAAACGTGTTCCGAGGATGTAGTGCAATGATTGACGAATGCAATGTTTCCACATTGCATTTTTATCAACCTTGCAGCAGGTGTAATGCTCACTATTTCAGTGTGTCTTTCCCTCAAACCAGTGAATATCTCAGTGTAGCCTGTGTTCATTACATGTATGTCCTCCAAGCTGGCAATGTTTTGCAGCTACTGTAGTGCATGTACAGACCCGGCTGCACTACCAGCACAGTGGCTGAATCCTTTGTTACTGTCGTTGTTGTATACTTTATTTATAGTGGAAATCAAAACAGGCATAATGCCTAATATTAAATAAAGACCCCACTGTGAATTAAAATGTTAAAGGATATTGTGGAAAAGTAGATATAGGAAAAAAGAAAGAAAAGAAAACGTATCCTCCTAGCTGGGTCTCACCCCAGCGCTGACAACACCCTGGGTGAATCCTTCTATGTAGCTTCTGAAGCTACAGTGCATGCGCAACAACAATGCTCTGTGTGCGTGTTGAGAGGTGCAGCATATGTAGATGCTATCGCAGCAAGCACAGTCCTGGCCAGAGAAATTCGACCTATTGTAGTGACGGGGGGGGGGCACGGGGCTCTAGCACTACACACACACAACTCTAGCATTTGAGCGGGGCGATTCATTATTGGTGAGGTCGGATTTCTCTAGCCAGAACTAAACATGCACGATGTACCGGCGTCTGTTCTGTTGTAGCTCGTCATGGAAGGTGGGAAGCATCAAATTGCAGCTTGCATTACACTCCGCCTCGACAGGCATGTGCACAGCTTCATACTCATCCTTTTGACGGTCAGCTGTGCAATGTGTGCCGCAGGTAAAGGTAGAGTTTGTATTAATCAAGACATTTTGGTCTTTCTCAATGTGCGCAAGCTCCACATTAGCCACTTCCTTACATGAAAAACCCTACACACCATCCTTAAATCAAGTGATCTCTTAGCTGCAAAATACAATATCTCAATCAAAATGTTGGTGTTTAGCACCAAAACAATAACGACGGATCCACGTGTAGCCAAGATAAATTATTATTTTCTTATCACCAGAATGCAGTTCCAGGGATGCATTTCAAATTTACACAATGATTTGCCAGCACTCTAGATTTCCTCCTTAAAATACTGATCAAGAGGCAGTGAAATACTAAGATGCCTGCAATACATCCAGTGCACTGCTATTGTTTTGTTTCAAGCAGTACTAAAACCGTGAAAGTGGCACAATTCTACCTGCGGCCTATCAGGTGAAGCTCAAATGACATGGCAATGTGTGTGTGTGGGGGGGGGGGGAGCAATGCTTGTAATGCACAATCGTAGGATTCCTCAAACAGTGTGATGATGCTGTAGAGCTGCACTTCAGTGATTGCATGACTACTACCATTGACAAACGTACTGTATGCTTCCAACCGGTGGATCCACTGTATTTGAAAGTACAGTAAAACCTGCCCTAACCGAACAACCTTGCCCTTGGTGCAGCGGAAACTGTCCTGATATGACGGCAGTCCGTTTGATCCAGGAATGCACGTTCACTCCATGTCACCTTGGTGCATAAACATTTGTCCGGCCAATACAGGTGGTGAGGGTGGGGGTGGTTGTGCACACTTTATTTAAAGTGGGAATCAAAACAGGCACGGTCCTTATACCAATGGACCCACGTTTCACCAGTTTTATGGCCTTTTCCACTTCCACACCCACTGCGTTTTTAGGTGACTGTGGGCAACCAGCAAGTCAAACTGGAGGTGAATATCCAGTGAACGGTTCTACAACAGTAGGTAGTACTCGGACAATACGCTGCTCAAAGGGCTATGCTGTTAATCCTGGAACAAACGCAACCATTACATGCCAGTCCAACGGCACATGGTCAACGCACTCGTCAAGCCCTTGTCTTCGTGAGTATCATCCAACCTGATTACTGTTCTTTGCAGCTTTCAGAAAGAGCTGATGGTCCCGAAGTTACCTGCTGTCCCAAATGTATTGGGAGACATATTCTTACACATTGGTTTCAAATTTCAATACTCGCTACGAGCCTCGTCACAAACTTGGAGTTGGTATGAAGTTGGGTTGCTTCCATATTCTCAGAATCATTCTTCAACACTACTAGTACTCTGCTGTGTGTCGTGGTAGGTTTTTTTTAATTTTTTTTATTGAAAACCACAAACCTTCAGACATGTGAATGTGCACATGATATACAGTGTACATACGTATGTATCGAGAAGGCAGCACGGAAATGGCAGTGGTGGTGAGGCCTGGGCAGCTCGTCCGACCGTGGGTATACAGCGCATGCCGACTGTTGTTCTTCGCCACTGTACTTCCAGGAGACTGTGGACAACCAAACAATCCCACTAACGGATTTTTTCCACCTGGCAGGCCAACCACTGTGGGAAGCACAGTGACAGTGGCGTGTAATGCCGGGTTTCAACCTCAGCCTGGTAAAGCTCAAACGATAACCTGCTGGTCTGATGGGCAATGGGCACCGACACTCTACTACCCCTGTATACGTGAGTGGGAACGGTCCTATACTTTTCTTTGTGTACCTCTCGTGTACTACGCTCTGCCCATCCCAGGCATTGAGCACTATAGCAGGTTAATCACCCTGGTACTCCATATCCAATGTCAAATTAAAAAGTTAAAAGTAAATAATCGTGCCCGTTCCCGAAGGGAACTCACGACGGCCGCTAACACCCGGTAAACCCTAGCAGATGCAGCGCCTAACGGTGACCAGGCAGGCACAGTGGGTTCGTCAAAGACCATGATTGAGATACGAGAGGAAACTGGTTCAAGTCCTGCCTGGGAGCGGTTTTTCCAGCCGTGCTGCTACCCACAGTCAACTGGGGACTTGTGGCCAGGCACAAGGGGTACATGGGTGCAGCTAATGGGGCGTTCTCGGCACTTGTGCCAGTGGTTGTGAGACTTACCCACTCACCCCCACCGTTAGGCAATGTCAAATTACTGGGACCAAAATGCAAGGTCCTCACAATATTCACGACTTGGAGGGATTTAGAAGTGAAAGGCCAAGAACAAATGTATTGCCATCGCCAAGAATCAAGCCAGGTTTAGGCTTTCCCCAAATCGGCCAGCCAAAGAATTCGCCGAAAACAAGACTTATCAAAAATCGCTAAGCATTTCGCCCATTTTGGAGGGTTCCTTTGAGAATCGCCGAAATCCACCAAATATTGTTGCAATGTGCGTTTAGGAAGGAATGATGTTGCTGCAAGCACGACCGCTCGAGCTCTCTACTTCAGTACTTGCAGTGCTAGTGCATTGAGGTCGTGTGACTCGTGTCCTTTGACCTCCTCTCAAACAAACATTAGCCATTACAGGCATTAGGAAGATCGTTACTAGTAGAATCCCCAAATCAACCGGCCGAAAATTCGCCGAAAAGGAGACTTATCAAAAATCGCTAAGCTTTTCGCCCATTTTGGAGGGTTCCTTTGAGATTCGCCGAAAATCTACCAAATCTTCAAATATCTCATCAATTTTGAAGCCAAAATGCCAACAATTCTTTTAGCCGATATTCCAATATTATTCCGATTTTGCAGCCGATTTTTGAACAATCAGCTGATTTTGCAGCCGAATCTGATGTATTTCTGAGCCGAGCGAAAAGCCAAATAGGCGAAAAAGGGGCTGATTTGGGGAAGGCGTAGCCAGGTTCCACCAAAAATATGTATAAATTGATAGAAAAGGACCAAGGAACTACAAGTTACGCTATAATGTCCACTAATTTATCCTTGGCTCTCCATCCGAGTTCATTTGTAAAAATAAGTATTTTTACTTTTATATCAGATGCAGAGACAAAAGAATATTATATCCCATATACACTATGCTGAAATCCCTCTGTATCATCCATGGGCCTTTCCATACCCAATCTGGGCCGAATTTGTGCTCAAAAACTTCTCTTTTTTATCTAGTTGCTTGTTATCAGATGAGCAACGACACACATTGGGATGTATCAAACGCGGTCGAATTTTATAAATCCTGACTGAACTCCTAGCTTCCTTAGGGCCTACTCCACACGGCTAACCAACTTCTGGGAGATACAAGCCCTGTCATTTCCCAATCATACACTACATTGTACAAAATTATGACCTTACTGATCCCCACCACAAGGGTCCTGCAAAGAATCCAAACTCCACTCTACCCAGACCCAGCAATCCACACTCCACTCTACCCAGACCCAGCAATCCAGGTATCACCAGCAACCCAATCTTTGTGAACTCGTACTCTCGCAGAACATACAGCTATGTGCTCTCCAGACCACAGGGTATAGTACCCGACATCAATTTCTCAAGTCTTTTATTTTAGCGCCGTTTTGAGGGAGGTGGTGCTCCTTTGGGATTCAATTTTTCAGTCTGACTGACGTTCATGCTAACCATGAAATGTATTCAATTATTAAGCACGTGTGACCAAACCTAGACAAAGAATATCATCTGTATCACAGCTCAGTATTCCATAGCAGCAACTTGTAATGACGGACAGCAGTCGGAAGAAACCACATGCATACACGGGTAGAGCCAGAACAATAGTGCAGGGGGCGGGGATCATCGGACCCAACATCTTGTAGTTTTTACCGCCATTCTGTGCTGCCATTTTATGCTGTGCTACTATACACAACACAATATACATGTTCAGGAAGTACACGTGATGATTGTATACTTATCATGCTGCATATGCATGTTCATGTAAAGGTGGGCTCGCACTCTGAACGGTGGGGCATTCATTTTGAAAGGGAGCGGTCAACAAGTGAAGGAGGGCGCAGCGCCCCGCGATGTCACTTTGGCGAGAACCCTGGCATGTGAAAACGTGACCTGCCTAACCACTCATGCTTGCTTGTATGAATTCCAGCACAAACACCAACGATGGCATATCTCCTCTCCAGGACATCAGTTTTAGCACGCTTTCTTGTCTATGAGCCAATGACTTTGCGGTTCTGTGTGACAAACAACAACTCCAGCAGGCAGTACTGTAGTGGAACTTCGAATGTCACCATAAATGGCCTCACTCCGCACACAGTATACTCATTGTCGGCCTACACAAAAACAGGCCACCTGCAGTCCCAGCATACGGCTGCTGTGGCTCTGACGACCCGTGCTCTACGTAAGCAGATCACATATCAGTTGTGTACTTTTGAAAAAAATTATGGTAGGGGTTTCATGGTAATAACAATAGGAGCTGCATCCGCACGTTGTTTCTTCAGATGGGTGGCTTTCTTGAAGCTAGGTACCCAACTTCATGCAGTTTGACTAGATCTTACACATGTGATGGATTTATTGTTTCCTGCATCATGGTCCTGTCAGCAGGACGCCATGCACCGAAATGCTACACAAGCGAACTCAGACTTAAACGAGTGACACTGACTTCAATTAACAGTTTCCTTTGAGACAAGAATGCAATATTACTCAGAAAATGACACACTTCAGGCTCTTTAGGAACATCTTGAACGTTTTCGGTTCCACTAGGTTACTTTCAAGCCTTGTTGTCAGGTCGAATACAGACAAAATCAAATGGACAAGGGCAATGGATTAATTTCATAACCGCAATCAATAAGACTAGCTGAATCGACATTTGTGTATACTTTATTCATGCAATGTAAAACAGTGGAGACAATGTGCAATAAAAAGATGAAAAGCCTAATTTTTGTGTACAGGCGTCACAACAAAGATTGGGTGTCACATACACACAGAACGAAATGTGGAAAAGGTGCAAATGTAAGGGAAACTAGCAAGTGTGAAGTGTGGTGCGATAAAAACAGACAAATAAAATCAATGGCCATAACTAACGACTTGTTGATGACCTTCCTAAAAGCCTAAGTCTGCTTCTGCTTACTAAGTACATAAGTCAGGTTCTCTCTCACACCTCACATTTGCAACAGCAAAACCACAGTGCAGGGTCGGCTGCGGACAGCCACATTGCAAGATAAAAAAGCAAAAAACAAGCTTCGTAAATATTCGAAGTTCGAGAGAACATTGCTTCTCGTTTCTTTCGAATACTCAGCCAACAAGAAGTGTGCACATTCTTAGTGTGAATATACAAAGCTTATAAAACATTCAACAACTTTGCACTACTAGTACTTGCACTTGACAAAATAGAAAAACAATCATCTCAACTCACCGCACGACATTTAGGATGCTCCAACAAATGACAAGCAATGGACTTGACTTTGGGTCGAGAATAATACTACATGGTGTCAGAATTGGGCTGCTGATAACGATGGCTGGATTTTCTATTCCATCCATGAGATGGGAGTCAGACAACCTCCCGGAGGAATTCGCCTCGTTTAGGCAGTATTGTGAATTGATTTTCGGAGGTCCGTACTCAGCGAAGTCAGCGAAAGAGCAATGCTCATATATCCTCCTTTGGATAGGCCGACCTGGTGTGGACATCTACAATTCCTGAACATTTGCAGACGAAGCTGACCGCTTCAAAGTGGACGAATTACTTTCCCGTTTTCAGGCCCACCTGCAGCCGAAAGTAAACGCGTGGCTGGCCCGTTTCCAGCTTCAACAGCAACGGCAAAATGTGGGGGAAACCACTGACGATTTTCTCTGTCGCTGTCGGAACTTGGCAGTGAAGTGCAAATTTGCCGATGCCGGTGAAGTCAACACCCGTTTGCTAGAGCAGCTGATTGTCGGCACCCGACATAAAACGGTACAGGAGAAGCTGTTGGAGAAGGGCGACCAGTTGTCGTCTCTTGACGAAGGGCTGGAAGTTGCGAGGACACATGAAGCTACAGCTACCCAGATGGCTCAGCTAACCGGGTCTCGCTCCGCCAGTGTTAGCCCTGCTGACGTATCCTTTGTTAAAAAGTCTGCTCCGAAGAGATCCAAGGATTTCAAGAAAAAACAACAAAAAAAGAGTTGTCAATTCTGTGGGAAGGAAGACCATGATCGTGCAGTATGCCCAGCTCGATCAGCTGAGTGTAATTTCTGTAAGAAACAAGGGCACTTTGCTACTGTGTGCCAGAAGAAGCAACGATCCTGTGACGCTGTACATACTGTACCGCCAGATGCGCATGCCCCTGGCATGTTTCTCGGCAGCGTCGATGCCGGACGTGACCCTTGGTCTGTGTCGGTGGAAGTCAACAATTCCCCAGTCATGATGAAGATCGACACCGGAGCCGATGTCTCTGTAATTCCAGCAAGTGTATTCCGCCTGTTAGATGCGCAGGCCCTGCGACCCAGTCGTCGTACCCTGATGTCTGCTAACTCAAGCGTCCTCGACGTAGCTGGCGTGTTCGACGCAGTGGTAACACATGCGGGCAAGTCGTCTCGCCAAGAGATTTTCGTTGCCAACAACCTCAAGCAGGCCCTCCTAGGACGCCCTGCAATAGTCGCCTTGGACCTCCTGGACGTCAAGGCTGACATCTCTGAAGTATCGAGCGGTATTCGCGACACCGCGACAGCACGAGCTGCATACCCCGATTTGTTCAAACCTCTCGGCAGGTTCACTGGAGAGCCTCACTGCATTCGCCTCGAAGAAGGCGCCAAACCATTTGCTCTGTCCTGCCCGCGCGACAATGTGGCAATACCGCTAATGCCGATTGTTAAAGCGGAGCTTGAGAAGATGGAAAAGCAAGGCGTCATCGTCCCTGTCGACGAACCAACTGATTGGTGTGCTGGCCTTGTTGTTGTCGCCAAACCTGGAGGGGAGGCAGTCCGTCTGTGCGTTGACTACACACGTCTCAACCAACACGTTCGTCGTGAGCAGTTCGTCTTGCCGGCGGTAGACCACACGCTGGGTCAGTTGGGCGGTGCCAAGTATTTCACAAAGCTTGACGCCAACTCTGGGTTTTACCAAGTGCCCTTGGCCAAGGAATCCCAGAAGTTGACCACATTTATCACCCCGTTTGGGCGTTTCATGTTCACGCGTCTACCATTCGGTATTTGTTCGGCTCCCGAACATTTTCAGAAACGAATGGCTCGGATCTTGAACGGTGTGGTTGGTACCGCATGTCAGATGGACGACGCTCTAGTGTTCGGTAGCACTGAAGAGGAACATGATAACCGGCTGCACCAGGTGCTACAACGGCTCAGCGACAACGGCGTCACACTCAACCCGGACAAGTGTCTCTTCAAAGTCACTTCTGCCAAGTTCTTGGGTCATATCATCGACCAAGACGGCATCCACTCTGATCCCCAGAAGGTGCAGGGCATTCAAGACTTCACGCCATGCCAGGATGTCGCGGATGTGAGAAGCTTTCTCGGCCTCGTCAACCAGCTTGGCAAGTTCTCTCCCTCACTTGCTTCCGTCTCACAGCCGATCCGCGACCTTCTCAAGAAAGGCAATGCCTGGTCCTGGGGACCCCCTCAGCAATCGGCATTTGAAGAGATTAAGGCTCTTCTGTCGTGTACGCCTGTTCTTGCTCTGTACTCTCCCGAGTACCCAACTATTGTCTCTGCAGACGCCTCGAGCTATGGTCTCGGTGCCGTTATCAAGCAGCAACAGCCGTCCGGCGATTGGAAACCCGTATCGTTCCAGTCTCGTGCACTACTGCCGGCAGAGCGTCGCTATGCTCAAATAGAAAAGGAAGCTCTTGGCCTCACCTGGGCTTGCAACCGATTCTCTGATTACCTCATCGGTAAGAGATTCACGCTGGAAACAGATCACAAGCCTCTGGTGCCCCTGTTCAGCACCAGTGCTCTCGACTCTATCCCTCCACGTGTACTTCGGTTCCGGCTCAACCTGATGCGATTTGATTTCGACATCGTACACATCCCTGGCAAAGATCTAATCGTTGCTGATGCCTTATCTAGGTCACCTGCGTCGCGTCCTCTGTCCGCTGATGACGTCCGCCTCCTCGACGACGCAGAAGCTTTTCTCGACAGTGTGGTTTCTTATCTCCCTGCGTCCGATGCTAGACTGAGTGAGATTCAACACCAGCAGGCTCAAGACCCAGTGTGTCAACATCTTGTGCAGTACACTCTGTCCGGTTGGCCAAGTTTACAGTCTGCTCCAGTGTCCGTTAAGCCCTACTACGCATCCCGGCAGTCATTCTGTATCACAGATGGCCTGCTCCTGTACGGTTCCAGAATCGTCATCCCGGACCAGCTCCGTCCAGAAGTCCTCCAGCAGCTCCATGCTGGTCACCTCGGCATCACGAAGACCCGCGAAAGGGCTCGCCAGTCAGTTTGGTGGCCAGGTCTAAGCGCCCAGTTAGCTGATATCGTGTCCAATTGCCAAGCCTGCGCTCGTGACAAGCCAACGCCAATGGAGCCCCTGCTGTCCTCACGTCTTCCCGAGTTCCCGTGGCAGGAAGTCGCTGCCGATTTCATGCAGTTCCAAGGCTCTCAGTACCTAGTTGTCGTCGACTACTACTCCCGATGGATCGAGCTTGCTCAGATGTCCCGTACTTCTGCAGCTTCTCTCATCACGCAACTGAAGTCCATGTTTGCGCGTCACGGCAATCCAGATGTGTTTGTTTCGGACAATGGTCCCCCATTCACAAGTGCAGAGGTTTCAGCATGGCTTCAAGAGCAAGGAACCACCCAGCGCACGAGCAGCCCTCTTCATCCGCAAGGCAACGGCTTAGTGGAACGCGCAGTGCAGACCCTAAAGCATTTGCTGGTGAGGGGAGGTGATCCGTATGTTGCTCTGCAGAGCTATCGTGCCAGTCCACTAGCACATGGCTTCAGTCCTGCGGAGCTCCTCATGGGCCGCCGCATCCAGACGCGTTTACCCATGTCGGCAGACGTTCGACGGCCATACCTCGTAGATCGCACAGCGTTTGCCGCTAAAGACGCCTCTCTGAAGTCCCGGCAAGTGTCGGATTTCAACTCCCGCCATCGCGCTCTCGATGCTACGCCACTGGTCCCGGGTACCGCTGTCTTTGTTCCGGATAGGAAAGAGCCTGGTATTGTCACTGCCGAGCATTCCACCAGGTCGCTTATCGTGGAAACGCCATCCGGTTCGGTTCTCCGCCGCAACCGCAGTGACCTCATCGTCGATCCGCCTGCAGGTTCTGCTAACGACGCTGTGGACAATGGTGAGCCAGCGTCACCTGCCCAACGTCCATCTCCAGGTACTCCCGTCCCTGAGCGTTCCGGTAGAGTTACCCGTTCTGGACGTGCCGTTCATACTCCTATCAGATTCCGTTAAGCGTTACTCTTTCGTCTTCAGCATTATTCCTGTTTTGCTAACTTATCGCTCTCTTGCTGCGCGCCCTGAAAGGGGAGATGTCGTAATATCTGGACTCTATTATGCATACACTACTGTACACTTATGACTGTATGCGTTGCATGCTGTATGTACGTCACACAGGCCGTTTCCCGTAGGCCAGAACTTTGATGTGCTTCACTGGCTCGGGACTTCTCTTGTTTTTGGACTTACCTACTGGTTGTGCATTTCTTGCTCCTCATTAGTTTACTCGTCCATGTCTCCTTGTCCCTATTGAGAATAATACTACAGGGTCTAGTTGCATTTCCTATTAATTTTATTGATTAATGATGGCATTTTTACACTATGTGTGAGTGATACGGTCATTTTAAAACGTTTTTAACAAAATTAAAAAATTGCACGGGTTCGCCTTTTCGTTTCCTTGGGGTTTTAAAAAGTTAAAGGAAACAAACAAAAGTTTTAATACGCTACTGTCTGGAGTTCCCAGTTGACTCTGGGTGCCTGCACGGCTGGGGAAAACCGCCGGTCCATTTCCGCAGGATGACTAAACCTACGTGTGGCATTGTAATAATAAAAATTATAGGGATTCACGGGTAGCCCTTTCCCAAATATGCTCGCCACTTTCTTCCCAACTTTTCGCAACTTTCCCGCAACCTTGGCCCCATGGCATGAGGTCAAAAGGTCATGTCACAGACTACATATCGGACAAATGCATACTCGCTCATTTCTCGCCTGCCTTCAGACTCATTTCAGATAAACAGTAGATCAACGGTAGTTACGATAATTTGTATTCCCTTTTCCGTTCACTGGAATAATGTAGGTTGTCACTCTCTTATTATTGACTACCACAGAAACTTGTGATCTCTATTAAAGCGGTCAAATATCAGCATAATATATTGACCGCTTATATTGACCACTTATATTGACCACTTAGCCCGAGGACTTAGAACTTTTTCCTCAACTTAGAAAAAATCAGAACTGAAAGAAGAAAAATCTGAAACCTAATGCTGGGATATGAACCCAAACTGTCAGAAGTAATGTCAAATGTAAACGGCATATGTACATACAATGTACTATTACAATAGTATTCATTTCTTCCTATAACAAAGAAAACCAGTTTATGTATGCTATGTCGTGATAAATCTATTATTGTCCTCATAATCGGTCAATATATTAAATATAGACCAGGTATAAAAACCTCGTAAAAGACATCGGAGGACCTCGGTCTTTTACTCATTCTATATTTCATAGATTGACCTCTTTAGTCGTGCAATAATAGATACATATATGCAACAGGCTACTGGCACTGTGTAAAGTTGTGGTTCACAGCAGAAAGGAATGTATGAGTTTGCTGTTGCAGCACTTCTGCTATTTCTGCTCCTTTTTTGGTGGCTTTTGCACAAGAAGTCTCCAGTTTTAAGTTGCGATAATGGCAACTTTTGAGCTTTTTCTGAAAATATGGATGGGATTCCAGCAACTTGTACTTGTTTTGGCACGGTTGCGAAAAGTATAAAGTTATGAAGAATTATGGCGTCTTTGAGAAAGGGCTATCCCTGGGTACAGAGGTAGACTGCAGACCAGCATAATTATGTGTTTTGATTTGGTGCCGTAGAATATTATGTCCTATTTGCCGATGGTGCAACCTTTTCCTGCAACCTTTTACTTCTTTGCTACACAGCACCTCCGGCTCCAGTCATCTATTACATATCAGCAACAGCAACATCAATAACCTTCGGTTTCTTCCCGCTCACTGGATACTTCGCCATTGGCAGTTACTGCTGCAACTTTACAAGAACATCGGTGTCAGGAATACCTGGATCGGGAGCAGCAACCATTACAATATGCAGTGCGACCACAACTGTCCTGCTGAAGGGAGCTGAGGAAGATGCTATGTACAACGTGATAGCATTCGCCTACAATACAGCTTCGGATAGGGGAAATAGCACAGCAAGTAATGGTGTGACAACTAGAGCAGCAGGTACTTTGAGAGACTGTGACAAATATGCAACAGGTGGCATAACCTCTCCTTTTCCATACAGAACATTGGTATCTCTACAGTGATAACCTAATTATACATGTAGCAGTGAACTGGTGACAAAAACATTGTAAGCAGTGCTTTACCCAGTAGAGGGCGCTGGTGCAGCAGAAGGATTTGTCCAACATGTACTGCGTAGATACCCTGCCTACTGCGCTGACCATCATCACTCGGGCTTCTCAATGCAACATGTTAATTGACTGATCGTTCTTCTTCAATACAATTCTAATGTTCGCCTAAGTAGGCACCCTCAGGGAAGTGAGAAAACAACAGGGTCGTCGGACACAGTACGGTCACTACGGTATTGACTGTAACACTATTTGCCCGAGGTACCCCGTGAATCAATCAAATGCACTGATTTGGGCTCTAATTTCCCAAAAAATTCGGCTTATAGGCGTTTCACACTCTCGTCTTTATTCGCGTCTTCGTCTTCGTTGCCTAGGCGATCCCGGGGAATCCCCAAAACCTGAGCTGAAGACTTCAAAACGCAGACACGGCCCTATGGGCAGTCTTCGGCCACGTCTTTGTCTTTTTTGTCGTCTTGAACTCTTGTCTGGCCTATCCGCATGCGCAGAGATCTTGGCGGGGAAAATTAAAGTGAGCATGCAACCTGCTAGCCGCATCTGTCAAAAGAATGTTCTTCTTCCGTTCCGTTCTCTTCGACTTTGACATTGAGGTTCCGTTCTTTTCTTTTCATTCCGGTGCCTTTGTTCGTACCTTCACCTTCACCATGACGAAAACGTTTGATAATGAGGCCGAGGCTTGCTTGTTGCGGATTTGGTGCCAGATTGGTGAAGCCGTTCATATGCAATCGCTCGATCGGGAAGCAATTGCCCAAGGCCGCGCCACAAAAGCAAAAGGAAGAGCCGAAGCACGCGTGCTTCTATCGCAGGGCGTAATATTCTTCACCTACAAAAGCGAAATAATGATGACCACAAAACTAAAACTGAGAACTGTTTGTTCTTCCTCGAGGCTGGCTGGTACATGGTGTGGAAACTACAGAACTGCCCCAGATTTTTTTATTTGAATCTACTCGCATGCCGTTATGTTTTTGCCCATGGACTGCTAAAAATGTTGCTGATTGTTGGCAAAACGATGTGTTAGATGTGTGGGTGTGAATCGACTTGTGAAGCAAGTCGACGTTTTGGCTGAAAACGACGTCACAGAAAGACGCGAGTGTGAAACGGCTATAAGCCATCCCTCCCACACGAGTGAATTGTACTTCAGATGGCTGACCGTACCACACTAAAATAATTACCTTCCGATGCCCCTGAACTGTAAATCATTTTAAAAAGCGCTTGCACTACAAGTAGGATAAGCCCGCAGAAGAAGATATTTGCAGAATGGACACGGACACCACAGCTAGAATCGTCACTGACTGTGTGCATTTTACACACCATCATAATGTTATGCAGTGGGTAGTTAGTTTTCCTGTGTATACTTCATATTTTCTGTGTACTAGTGCCAGCGGCTTTCCCAACAGGACTAATAGTATCCTCAACGAGCTACACATCAGTCTCCATCTCATGGACGCCAATCAGTAATCCGTTTCTCCTCAATGGGCGCCTTGTAGGTTACCACGTCCGATATGAAGAAGAAGGAACGGCTCTACCACCTCTCAATGTTTATTGGCCACATGCCACACTGAGCAATTTGAGGGCAGGCTATACGTACAGCATTCGCGTTGCAGCGATCTCAACTGGCGGTATTGGATTGTATGCTCCTCCTCTCAATAGGACTACAAATCAATACTGTAAGGAGCAATTGTTGTAGTTGTAGATGTTTATTTAACGTCGCACAACAAACAGGCGGTTTCGCCTCCTTTGATACATGTGGACGACAGAGGGGATGAGAGAGAGAGGGGGGGGGGGAGGGAGGGGAGAAATACAGAGAGAGGAAGGGTAGAAATAAATAAGTGAGTCAACCTCAGGGCTACAATAAAGCAAAAACGGAATGGGGATAGGATTGTGTAATGATTAATTTCGACGAGTCCTTTTGTACCGTTATTCTTCAAGTCGAATACATGTACAATGGTGATGCGAGCAGCAAAAAAATCCATTTATCTATGAGCATCGCTGGCCTCAAGTGAAGGTCCCTGCTTAGATCCCTGATGGTGACAGTCAATTTTTTCTCCAGATTTTTCCAATAGGTAAACAGTTTCCTCTGAGACAAAAATGCGATAATACTCATAAAAAGGACACACTTCAGGCTCATTACAAACATCTTGAAAGTTTTTGTCTTCACAAGTATACTTTCAAGCCTTCTCATCAGGTGAAATACAGGCAAGGGAAAAGGAACAGGAACAGTGGATTAAATACAGAAAGAAGGTGGTAAAACAGCGCAAAAAGAAAACAAAAACTTTCAAGATGTTTGTAATGAGCCTGAAGTGTGTCCTTTTTATGAGTATTATCAGATTTTTCCCTTTTCCATTCCCTCGACTTATGAATATTAAAAATATACGTGAAGGGACCAAAATGCTACATGTTATCCGTAGTTCGCGTCCACCACTAACGGCAGTTATAAGCAAAATGATGTAAGATGTTGTGTAGTCAGAAGGTGCAACAGCTAGCACAATACTGGCTGATGTGATACTGACATTCAACCACCTGATGATAAGCTATAGCACGTTTTGGATGCGCAAACAAACAGCCTTCTAACTTGGAAGGTTCCAAGGTATGAAATAACATAAGAAAGGGGAAGGTGACTACGGATAACATGTAACATTTTGGTCCTTTCGTTGTAAATTTGATACTTGGGCCTCCATCCGAAAAATATACGTGAAATTAAAATATTATGGAATAAAGGTGAAGGAATAAAAATGTTATGAGTTATGACTAACTGTCTACCAACGTAACCAGAAGTGTTGGAGCTAGGTTTCAGGTCGTTGAATGTCGCAGTACTCCTTGTCAATGTGTGCCATTTTGTCGCACTCGCTGACTGTATACTGATCTGGTTGCGTTGGTGGACAGTTAGTCATAAGTCGTAACATCTGTTTGTCTTTCTCCTTTTTCTATAATTTAATTGGCTCACCATCCGAGTTCAATTAAAATATCCATTTCACTTTTCATTCAAGAATGGACTCGGTTGGAGAGCAAAGAATAAATTTATAGAAGATAAAAAGGACCAAGGAACTACAAGTTACGCTATAATGTACACTAACACCACAAGTTACTAAACATTCAGCTCATGCGATAACATTGCACGACACTGACCGACGGTGCTGACGTTCTACATCTAACTGGCTGACAGCTCTAGCACTTGAATCGTGGTTTGACCATATTGTCCAATGGTCTTGCCAGTATCGTCATCGACATGCATGAACATCCGCCAACGTCCTTCGCAGCTGAGACTTTCATCTCGTGCTTGTCTTGGTTGCGCTAACCTTACCCTCCTATGTTATCATATAACTTAAAATCTTCCAAGTTGGAAGGCTGTTGGAGTGCGCATCCAAGATGTGCTAGAGCGGTTAGCCAGTTAGTCGTAGAACGTTGGTACCGTCAGTCAGTGTCGTGCAATGTTATCGCGTGAGTTGGTCCTTTATTAACTGGTGGTGACAGTGGACATCATAGCGTAACTTGTAGTTCCTTCGATCTTTGTCTTTTTTTCTTTTCTATAATTTCTTCATCCAGACTGTATTTGATGGATTCTCCAAAAGTAAATGGATACTTAACAAGAGAGTTTCCTGGAAGGGTGGATGAGATGAAAGGGAAAAGTGAAAAGGGACAAGGGAAAGGACTTAGCAGCAAGGAGGGCGAGTTGAAGTGACATTGGATTACTTCATTTCAAAACAATGTCAAGCGATGGAGACGATGGAAACTGACAAACTAAAACGAAAAGAGAAATTCATGTAAGATAGAAAAATTGCACGGGGTCGCATACAGGGCGGGTCATGAACAGCCTTTCTGCTTCCGTAGGACGCCATCACCCCATGATCAGGCGTCAGATTCAGCTCCTAAACGGTGCACAAGGAGGAGGGGGGGGGGGGAGATCAGATCCACCAACCAGAAGCCAAAGGCATTGAATTATTAAGGTATAAATTGAAGTCACAGGATCGGTCGGAGAAGTATTGCTTGAAAAGAGAGAAAAAATCCCCCCCCCCCCCCCCCCCGGTACTAGAACCCAGGTACCTTGCTTGTCATGAGCAATGCTCTAACCACTGAGGTATGGGACCGGGCTGAACCTAGAAGGCGCAGACAAGTTGTTCACTTCAAAGGCAGCTCACAACACGTGCCACATATACTGATGGCACTTGGGTCTTTCTCCCTCCCCCAGGAGACCAACCACAGTCAGTTTTTGGACCCTACCAGAAGTGAAAGAGAGAGATAAATTTATGAAAGGATTGGGAGAACTTCAAATTCAAAGGAACAGTAGGAGAAGTGAACTGCCTGAAAAGAGAAACAAATTGCCAGACCCACCAGGACTTGAACCCGGGACCTTGCTTGTCATGAGCAATGCTCCAACCACTGAGCTATGGGACCGGGCTGAACCTAGAAGGCGCTGACTAGTTTTCACTCCAAAGGCAGCTCACAACACGTGCCACACATACTGATGGCACTGGGGCCTTTTTTTCTCTCCCCCACGGTCAATTTCTGGACCGTATTACCAGAGGTGAAAGAAAGTGGTTAATTTTGAAAGGATTGTGAGAGCTTCAAATCCAAAGGATCTGTAAGGGAAGTGAACTGTCTGACCTGAAATAATAATGTACTTCATATAAACGAGAGAGCTTGGAAGCTCAGGGCCCTACGCTATGCTTTTTTGCCTTGATGACCTAGACAAAAAAAGCATAGGGATGTTATAAATTCTTTAAAAAATTCCTTTTTTTTTTAGACATAACCTGGGATTCGAACCCGCACTATCGCGCGCCCTGCATGCATCCCCCGGACACTTCGCATACATACTAATTCTTCCAAGTTGTTTCACATTGTGATCTTGCATTTGAAAGCCCTATTTGAATATGCATTGTGGCCAGCCGTCTTTGATGGCACGGTACGGTAGGGGATAGGTACGGGACAGGTACGATCGAGGGTAATACGACACCGTCTCCCGTACCGTACCGTACCATCAAACACAGCTGGCCACATACAGCTGCCCGCAATATTCAAATAGGGCTTTCAAACGCAAGATAATAACGTAAAGCAACTTGGAAGAATGGGTATGAATGCGAAGTGTATGGGGGAATGCATGTAGGGCGATAGTGCGGGTTCGAATCCCAGGATATGCCTGAATTATTATTTATTTATTATTATACGCATTCCCGCGGCAGCGTCAACCAAGCAGTTATGCTTGATCCACACGTTCGCTTATGCTGGACATTGAAACAAAGCAGATGTGGACAGCTCCTAGAGAATGGGGCTCTACAAAACCAATGATCGAAGTTAGTCCTTCAGTAACATGGAGCGTCATAAAATTGGTCTCATTGGAAAAATGTCATCAATATTGTCTCCTCATGTAGCATCATGGTCAATGGGTGGCCAGATAATTATACGTATGAGGTTGAGTTGCCAGATAATTATTAAAAGATTCAAATAGTAATATTATTATAGAATGGTTGTTATGAGTTTATAAGGGTGCCATGGCTGTTTCTACTTGTGACGAGGGTGTGCACAAACACTCTTCACCAGCGCGTTCCATGCTGGACGGTCCACAGCAATCCGCTCCAGACGGCGCAAGTCCTCAACACTCCGCAGGTGCCCATTGTTCGACTGGGACAGATCGGTGTGGAGCTTTATTGGTAGTGTCACCCTCGGCCTCCCACGGTACCTCCCCTCGGGTGCCTGAAAGTATTGCTCCATGCTCAATCGTGCTGGCGTGTCCTTACCCAGGCGAAGCACATGTCCGAATAAACTCCAGCGTGAATTTCGGATCAAGTCCGACACCGGCTCCACTCCACATCGGGCATACAACGCCAAATTACTAATCTTTTGTGGCCATGTGATGCCGAGAAGTGACCTGAGTTGCCTTCTATGGAAAGCGTCCAGGGAGCGTTCGCTAGCAACCGTCAGGCCCCAGGTGCCTGAATTATAGAGAAGTATCGGCATGATAAAGGCGCAGTACAACCTCATACGCAGAGGCTCTCGGATCAGTCCTCGGCGCTTCCAAAGAGACCACATGGATCGGAAGGCAGCCTCGGCCAATTGCCTGCGACGTGTCACATCCTCAATGTCGCCCAGGAGTGAGCCCAGCTTTCGGGATGTCCTCCAGCGCTCGTCAATTCTGTCTACAGATCGACCCAGCTCTGTCCACTCAGTTTTGGTGTTGTTGACTCTCAGGGCCCACTGCCCGAGAGTGTGGTCTATGACCGGTTCGAGCTCTGTGAGCCATTGACGACTAAGGCTTATGAAATCAGTGTCATCTGCGTAGACAAGCTCAAACGGAATGTTGATGCTTTGATCCATTGGCGGTCTGTTTCGTGCCACCTGGGTGCTCCTCAGATCTCTCAGTGCTGCCTCTAAGTATATAACAAACAACACCGGGGAGAGAGAATCACCCTGCGGGGTGCCAATTGTAGTTTCAAGGGACTCTGATACTGCCCTGCCGATGCGTACCTGCAGAGTTGTGTTGGTCAACAGCACTCTAACCAGCCGAACATCATCCTCCGTCAGGAAAGACTCGAGAACTGTCAACAGTTTGTCACGATGTATACAGTCGAATGCTTTGGACATGTCGATTCCAAGAATGGTCATTTCCCGCCGATAATGCTGACATGTTGCTGCAAACCATCTGTGGCTCCAAACAAGGTCCGCTGTAGATCGGCCTGCTCTGAAACCACTCTGCGTCGGAGACAAGTACTCACCGACTTTCGACGATATTCTTCGCAATGTAATAATGGAGAGCGTTTTGCGTAATGATGTAAGGAGGACAATAGGGCGCAGATTTCCAGGTGGTCCAACCGTCTTTCCTGGTTTCTGCAACGGTACCAGTGTGCCACATCCCAGGTCAAGGTGCTGGTGAGTTGTAAACATGCTGTTGAACAGACAGGCAATGTGAGGTGCTAGGTTTTCTCTTCCATATTTCAAGAGTTCGCCTGGGACTCCATCTGGGCCAGGGGACCTTCCATTATTCAGTTTTCACTTTTTTTCAGGATATGCCTGAAAAAAAGGAGAATTGAAAAATTTATAACAGTGATGGTGAGGTACCAGGGACTCCACCGACCAAAGGTCTCGGCTTCAATGCCACAAGCACGCACCAGGAAAAGGAAACAGAAATGTAATACAGAGACCAACAAGGGAGTTTGTCACCACAAACTAACCTTTTTTGCCCTTGTTGTTCTGCGTCTTTCTTATCATTTAAAATTCACCTCGTGTGTTTTTTAGTGCTGTCATTACGTTAGAGCTGGCATTTCCTGCCGACTGACTGGGACTTGACCTGTGCTTGACAGTATAATTTCATTTTTCATTTCTTTGTGTACAGATGCACCACCGCCAATAATTTCCAATGTGGAGGTGCTGGCGACAAAGGTCACCGTGAACATCTCTGCAAGCCCAGGAGATTACCGTTTCTCCGAGTTCTGCTGTTACTTCACGAGGTATTCCGTATCTAATATACCAAAGTCCAACAGGTATAAGGTGACGGTTTGTAACCGTACTAGTCCCATTGTCTTCTCACCCGTTGAGGAGGATGCCAGTTACGGTCACCCGCTGCTATACTGTGTAGTAAGGGACACACTTCCACGTGACGGATATCTCACAATTATTCAAAACTTCACCACACCAGCAACAGGTAAATAATATGATTGTTCTCATGTTGTTGTTCTCAGGCCGAATTGTTGCTACTTCTAGTCCCGCACCATGTCCACATTCACCGATACTTTAAAACACAACAGGTCCACATTCACCGATACTTTAAAACACAACAGGTCCATGATCCAGGATGACATTTGGACCATTGCCTTTGCCTTGGTACAGTCAAACCTTGTTAGGACGAGCTTCAAGTGACCAAACAGGTTTTTTTGTCTTATCCGGAGTTCTTCTTATCCAAATTTGACAAAATAATTGATATACACATCATATGGATTGTATTTATGTGAAGGTGCATACTGTGGCAAATGTAAAACATTTTTTTCATAACATAACCCAGCAACAGGTAAGTACAATATGCAATGAATTCATGACAGCATATCCTCCGCCTTTTAACAGGTTTTGCTTGTACAAGAGAGCCTCGAATTTTTTGCACAGGTAATAAAAACTATACAGGTGAGAATTGATAGTAAATTCAGCAAGTGCAGTGTGACAATGGACATGCATGTGCAAGAAAATGTCACCGCACTCGCACTATTCCAGGAAATTTGCACTCACACACACTTGCACATGCATGTCCATTGTCACACTGCACTTGCTGAATTTACTATCATTTCTCACCTGCATAGTTTTTATTTATACCTGTGCAAAACATTTTCCCAAGTTTGTGCTATTTTTCGTACTATTCTTGTATCTTCGTTGCTTCACTCCAAGTGTATAAATCCTATTGTAGTTTCATCATTCTCTTTGGTCACGAATTCCATTGATAATTGTGACAAGAAAACATTCTGGAATACATTATTCGTCCCCATGGTTGTGATATGAGCGTGCATTTAGTCATATTCATTGCATTATAAAGATTATTGTCTCCACGTCGCCTTTTTACTTACTTGTATGACTTAGCTTATGATACGGGTAATGTTTTTTTGTGTTAGCGATGACAGTAAGACGTTATCTCCATCCGGGTGCTAAACTTGATTGATTGTCATGTATTGTGGTAGAGAGTGTAAGCTTGAAAAACTAATCCTGAAAGCGCTCAACGTGGTATTGACAGGTCAGCGCCCAGGAGATTTCCCCTTGCACACTAATCGTCGTGCCAATCTCTGCGAAGTTTGTGTTGTGTTTGGCCTACAAGCCAAGCACAAGTCCATTGTGGGGACAAGACAAAGATTGCAGATACTTCTTTTGAAGTATATTTACGTCGAGCATGCACATTCATAATACAGATGAGAGAGAGAGAGAGAGAGAGAGAGATCATACGAGCAGAGACAATGCTGTGGCAACCACCACTACTGTCGTGGACATGGCAACCCGATCGAATGACTGGGGCCGGTGCCCTCAGTGCGCATAGAACGTTGCATGCACAGAGCACATGTTGATCATTCGCGTACTCACGGCTGCATGGCCGGCACCCAAGGGCCGACTGGATTTCCTCGTCCACCGTGTGTGTGTGTGTGTGTGTATAGTACTTGTGTGTGTGCGTGTGTGTGTGTGTGTGTGTGTGTGTGTGTGTGTGTAAGTAATACTTCCGTGTGTGTGGCTGTGTGTGTGTGCGTGTGTGTGTGTGTGCGCGCGCGTGTGCGTGTGTGTATGATTTCGGATACCTGCTGCTGGGTGTATGCAGTCAATGTATGGTTTTACCTGAACCTCAACTTTTTTCCTCCCATTGAACAACATTCCGTGACCGTGCTGCCACCCTTATTTCACATTTGCTCTGTAGTGCTCCTGCTCATTTTTTTCTATTTTTGTATTTTTCTGTTTGGCGCGCATGAGCAGTGCTGAGGCCGAGACCCCTGGTCGGTTTAGCTGCTCTTGCCCCGCCTCCACTGCTTCGGCTGCCATCGCTATGTGCATCTCTGTGCGTTTTTGCCGGCGGTTGCACCATGATGGTTTGTGGGTATCTTGTAAAAAAAAAAACCATAGTAGTATTATGTACCTCCTCCCGTACATTAGAGAGGTTCCGCACTACGTAAAGTTGAGCAACTTTACGTTAGTGGGCGGGAAAAACCCGTGAATTCGCGAGTTTGCACTCCACTTACGGAAAGTTGTCTACGGAGAGTACGTAGATAGGACTCTGATAACGTAGCTGGTCCGTAAGTGGATTGGGGTACAAATTTATGACTCTCTCCCCAGGTCGATCTGGTCGCACACTGCCGCGTTCAGAGTTGCCAAGGGCAGCTACGTGATTTAAAAACTTCGTATGGCGGAACCCAGATGCGCATGCAGTTTACGTAAGACTTTCCGTAGATCGACTACGTTTTTTTCTAACGTAATTACGTTATGCGGAACCTCTCTATTGCCTCCTTCCACAACCTTTCCCAGCTGACCTGTATGCACCCCGTACTTACCCTCAGGTACATGACTGTATTGTTTTCGCTTAGTATTAGTTAGTTCTCTTTGTTATGATTGCTTTTTTTCTTTTTCTTTTTACCAGGCGTGAGCCATCCATCCCCTGAATTCATAGGTGCCAAACATTCCCTTTTTTTCTTTTTCTTTTTACCAGGCGTGGGCCATCCCCTGAATTCATAGGTGCCAAACATTTTACGTTTTTCATTGTCTATCATGCATTTTGTCTATTAAAAAAAAAAAGTTCCTGCGTTTTGCATGGCAGGGAAAAACACTTACCCTCACGTACCCACCTTTTCTTGGCCTGGGTAGCTACTTGCGCACCCATATTTGCCATAGCTACCCAGACCCTTTATCTTGCAGTCCTTCTCTCAAAAACTCTCTCTCTCTTTCATCATGTAATCGTTCGTCTTTCCCTCCGTCTCTCGGCCTCCCTAATAAATGTTGGCCTACCTACCACATACCTGTTCCTCGTTCCCTTGTGTATGTTATCATGGCAGAAGTTACGTTTTCAACTGTAGCGCACACTACAGGTTGTGCCTTCCGCAAAGCCATGGCGCTGACAATGGCATTCCTTTCTTTGTAGGTGTTAATAGCCCACACCCAAAATGTCCAGGAACCGAGTTCGAGAGAAAACCCTTTCCTAAATCTAAAACTTTCATCAGCAGAAACTAGTCCGATGTACAACAGTAGGATACAGTCCAATAAGCATAGTCTCCTGATGATCGCGTAAGAACTTGCGGCAAGAAAATCTCGTGGAGAGATGCATAGATTGTTTCCACCGAACCTTGTGTATGGTGGAAGCTTTGGTGAATGCAGCTCTACATTCTGCTTTTAGAGACCGTGCAATTACACTTTCCGCTTTTTAGGCCAGATCAGGCCAAGGACAGTAAATTTCAAATCCGGCCAGGTTTCACTAATTTAGGACATGACATGGCATTGCGTTCATGGCAACATGTATGTAAAGGCGGTCAAACATCCAGAGTTTTCAAAACTCAAGTAGGTTTTAGCCTCAATTCAGACAAAATTTGTCTTTCAAAAACCAGCTGGACGATTTTTGAATTGTAGATTTTTACGTCGGCTGCAATGGACGGCTGGGATGGTCAACTGTGCAACAAAGAAGCTGAGGCAAAAGAGAAAGACTTATTTTCTTATTAGTAAAAAAAGAGAAGAAAACACATGAGAACGAGGTATGCAGCAACTATCCTACTGATTGTCCCAGCTAGCCCAACTGCATATCTTGCCAAACGTGTTACCTATGCTGGGACCATATTGTGGAACCAGCTCCCCGCTGCGGTCAGGCAAGAAAGAAAACGTAATCGCTTTAAGTCAATGGCTCTTGCCTTTTTGCTAACCAGATAAATAAGCCTTTTTTTACAAATGCTGTATGCACTGCTCTTTCCGTTATTCTTCCTATGCAAGTCGCAACTCTTGTTTTGAGTTGTTTTTCTTCTCTCTTTTTCTTTCCCTACTAGTTGCTGTTACACTCACTGATACTTATGCACAGATATACAGCATTCCCTCACTAGTGGGACCATTGTTATTAGGCTAGGGCCTGTTTTGGACTTCCCACTCTAAATAAAGAATACAAACAAACAAATCCACGACTGTACGAGTAACACGATGATAAAGAGTCAGAACGTGCGATATTAGGGCGCAAACCTGACAGGCTACTGAGACCTTCAGCGACCTGAGACCTAGCTCTAACACATCTCCAGTGCGCAAACCAACAGCCTTCCAACTACGTGGAAGGTTCATGGTTACGTAGGGCCGAAGAGGGGAAGTTGAGCGCAGCGAAAATGTGCACAAGCTAAGACCTACGGCAACAGAGAATGCCGACTGTTACAGTACGATTACGAGACCAGTTAATAACATGACAATGCGGTCTAACTACAATTGGGAGCAGCAAAGCAACACACCACCCAACTTGGGTGGGTCAGCAATATCAGAGATAAAGGAAGGAGGAAGCTTTGCGAAAACGAATTGTACAGAACCGGACACCAATATCTAACGGTACTCCTCATGCATCACACTATTGTGGACGAGTTGACCACACAAACAAGTAGTTCCACACGACGTACATTTCGCCGCGTTGTTAGTGACGGCTCATCAGGTGTTCAAAATTTTAACTCGTATACTGAGCCAGTAATAAACGTTAAAAAAATATAAAAAAAGAGAAGAAAACACATGAGAACGAGTTATGCAGCAACTATCCACGACTGTAACAAGATGATAAAGACTCTGACTGTTTATCATACTGTTACAGTCGTGGATAGTTGCTGCATAACTCGTTCTCGTGTGTTTTCTTTTCTTTTTTTATATTTATTATTGGCTCAGTATCCGAGTTAAAATTTCTTATTAGTCCTCCTTGTAAGAATGAAGTTGAAGACACCACTGCAGCTGTACTTATGGTTGATAAATATGGTGGTAAAGACACACCTGGCAATATGGCGGTAAACACACGCGTGCCCACACATGCTCTCTAAGCTGCAAACTAGCACAGAGCTCTCCTTCTCACCACCACCACCATCAGTTCTCGCCTGGCGCCTAGTCGATGCATGGTTGGCGGTATCCGACATAGCAGGCTGGTACATCAGTTTGCGCCTGGCGCCTAGTCGATGCATGGTTGGCGGTATCCGACATAGCAGGCTGGTACATCAAGTAGTGGTGTCTTGAACTTCATTCTCCCGAGCCAAGCTCCGTATGAAGACATCCAAGAAGAAGATTGCCTGATGAGTCCAGCGGGGAAGAAACGTACGTCGCAATCGAGCTATGTCGTTGCTGTGTCATCTTCTATGTGCCATGCGAACTGATGGTGGTGGTGGTGAGAAGGAGAGCTCTGTGCTACTTTGCAGCTTAGAGAGCGTGTGTGGGCAGGCGTGTGTTTACCGCCATATTGCCAGGTGTGTCTTTACCACCATATTTATCAACCATAAGTCCTCCTTGTAGCTATATTTATTTTCTTGCGCATGCTTTGTGTATGGTGTGACGTCAGAGTCAGAGTCATGCCGCTACAGAATAAACGAATGACAGACCATGATCAGGAACCTGGTCTGGGGAAGCTGAGAATGAAGCAAAATTCAGCGGCCTTGAAATGGCGGCCGAGTGATAGGTAGGTGTACCAAGCTCTTCATGGAATTTTACTGTGGAAGCTTGAACCTTTTAATTCAAAATTTGGGATGGAATCTTCAAATTTCGTCTTATCACCTTTCATTATGCATTGTTCTCTATTTGTAGCTCCACAAGTCGCCCCGTCAGATATACAATTCAGGTCAAGCACAGCTACAACTGTCCGTATCAGCTGGTCGGCCGTGGACCCATACGAGTTAAATGGAGTACTGGTGGGATACAATGTTACATGCTGGCAAGGCACGAACCTGATAACGTATGTGCACACTACAACAGAGAACGCGAACGTGACTGGCTTGAAGTTCAACTCCATGTATAAAGTTTCAGTTGCAGCCATCTCATCAGGAGGGCTAGGTATTTACTCAAAGTACACCCCTGTCACTACATCACAGGATGGTAAGTGTCGTGTTCTTTAATATTCCGGTACTGTGTGTTGTCAATTCTTTTATCAACTGCATTGATGCACTTGCATTCCATAATTCCGAATGTTATTCTTTAAGTAAACAAGCGTTTCGGAGACAGCAGTTTTAATGCAGCTACAGGAAGGACTAATTGCACTGTAAGCATTTCCTATATGTTGAAGTGTATGTGTAAAATGTTGTACGATGATCGCAAGGCACACAACGAAAGGGAAAGAGAGGATTTGTTCAGAACAATTTTCTTGTTACATTCATCAGCGAATCTACGTACCAATGGAATGAGGACTACTTGAAACTAATTTTATATGGACAAATAAAAGGGAACAAACGATGTATCGACGACTGCATACTGCTGTGGAGACATGGCTGGAGAGGTTTAACAGCACTTCTAGATCACTTCAACGGAGAGCACACTATTATCAAATTCACAATGGAACACTCGGTCAACGAAACTCAGTCAGTGAACTTCCTAGATCTAGCGCTGTCTGGGCGTGGAAACAGCATAGAGTGGGAGCTCTATGTTAAGCCTTCCCACAGTGGTGTCCACCTGTCTTATGAATCATGTCTCCCCTGGTCGAGTAAAAGAGCTGTTGCACCGAACCAATTCTCTCGAGCTATCCGTAACTCATCAACACCGGAAGCGGAAGACAGGAGCATGTCCATAATTGAAGAGTTGCTCGAGAGAAATGACTATCCACGCACTGAGATAAACGCAGCATGACGAGTAGCCAAGGGGAAAAGACAAGATACACACCCGTCTCAACAATAGCAGCGTGACAGCAAGCGCAGACACAACCAATTCAAGTCGGTCATCAAACTGCCCTTCATCAACGATTCACTTGCCGCTCGTGTCTCACGATGTGTTCGAAAGTTCAGCCCGCATGTTCGTATTGTCTTTGTGTCTGGTCCTTCTTTGAAGGATATGTTGGTCCGATCATCGAGTGCTGTACGTGTGTGTCCCCGTGAGAAGCAGCGATCGGAGGTGAAGAGAGGGAGAGGTCGACCAATGGAGTGTCGTGCATGTGATGCGAGTATGGTGGATAGTCAGTGTTTAGTCAAAGGTGTTGTCTATTGTATGTCTTGCACGTTGTGTGCGAAATTGTACGTTGGTGAGACCGAGCGGCCGGTGAGGGACCGATTCGCTGAGCACTACCGAGAGGCAAGGGCGATGGTGGCGAAGACTCCCTGGGGCTTCCACTATCGTACCCAGCATCGAGAATCTTCAAAGTCTTCCAACTTTCTGCCCTTCCACCAGGCAACGATTCTTGGCAGGGAGGCTTTGCTACCATCAAGGAAACTGGTTGAAGCTATCAAGATAAGGAAGCGCAAACCAGCAGTCAATTGCGATGACGGCTGGCGCCTAATTGACTGATTGGATGTCACCGGATCGTCACTGGAATCGACGCCCATCTCCTCGAACTACCACTGGACTTTACCACCTGACACAGCACATACACATACTTTGCACATACACCGCTGTCATATACATAGATCGCCTTTAGCATTCCCACGCTTGAAAGTGTTCTTGTATGTGCTGTGATAGTCTTACTAGTCTTCTTTCTTCTGTTTAGGTCATCTTACTGGTGATGATTGTAAACTTTAGTGTTAGTGTTAGTTTTCTTGCCTTCTTGCCACATTGTGTCTGTGTGTATGTGTGAGTTTTCTCATCTTTCGCTCTGTTTAGGTCACCTTACAAGTGATGATTGTTTAGTTTGTTGGCCTTGCCAATTGTGTCACCACAATCTGTTAGTTCTAGAACATTCATCTGCCTGCATTATTCGTCGTTATATTTCGTGTTTTTGCCTCCCCTTCCTCAATGCCCTTATGATGCCCAATGGGAGAAATATTGGCAAAGTGATTTATTTGGTGCAGCTGAGAGCCTGTTGCCGGAATGGCGGTGTTTTCAAGTGCAAGAAATACGCTGCAATGGAGTTTGGGAATTCTGAAGAAAAATAAAAGGGAAAGAAAGAGAAAAACAAAAAAGTCGGATGCTGAGCCATAAATAAATGTAGAAAGGAAAAGGACATACGGATACGAGTTAAGAGTAACTCTCCATCACTGTAACTGGATACTGTATACAGTCAGAAAGTGCAATAACTAGGCACAAAACTGACAGAGTACTGAGACATTCGAAGTCCTGACACCTAGCTTCAACACATCTTCGTAGCGCTAACCGACAGCCTTCCAACTTGGAAGGTTCAAGGTTATGGAAAGACCAAAGAGGGTTTCTGACTGTATAATCCAGTTACAGTGATGGAGAGTTACTCTTAACTCGTATCCATATGTCCTTTTCCTTTAAAACAAAAAAGGTGATTATACCGGTCATTACTTCCTGCCCCGCTGCCAGTCAGACCCAAGAATAGAGAAAACAAGAAATTGTATGTAATAAACGGGGCATGTCATCATCATAAGCCACACACATCGGCATAGAATATCAAAAAGTACAGCGGAAGACCCCCTTGAAACCGGGGTTGGTGGGCGGGCAACTTCAATTACCACGAGGAAAACAAAGACCATGATGGCAGGTTCAATGGAGTTGCGCAGAACAAGAGCAAACGCACGAAAATATTGGTGAGTGAAAAGTACGTTTTTTGCTCTCTTTTGCTCAGCCGTGGAAAACAAAACTTCACCATTGTGGTCAGCAGCCTCAAAATCAAAATCGAGGCAAAAATGTGTCTTTGACAGTTCACGTGTAACAGAACATGAGTATTATCAACCAGAATCATCTATCCAATATCTCGAATCGCCAAAGAAGTCGGATACGTGGAATTTGGCTGCAGTTTGTATACTACTCATGCATCCTAACCTTACTTTTACCTCATGCATGGCTAGCTAGTAGCTACTGACTCATGTGCATGACTTGTTGTCGTGTGGTTTGCAGTTCCACCAACTCCAAAGGTCACATCTAACTCATCAACTCCAGCAACAATTACTGTGGTGTTTGGCGCACTGACTGGTCGTTTCACAATTCATCGGTATTGCTGTCTGTACCACCGTGAAAGAGTCTCCGGGACTCTATCGCCAACAACCTCTACAACGGTTTGCAGTCAAGTCACAACCATCATACTGAAAAACCTGGAGGAGGATGCAACGTACTCCATAGAGGGGTTTGCCAACAACACTGACATGGAGATTAGCCCACATACAACGCCATTCAGTCTCGAAACTAAACCCGAAGGTTGGTGATAAGTAGCAATGCCAGTAATGTGCTGAATGGCTTCCTCAACCATAGGATGTTACCTAAGAAATTCTGGTGGTCTGTGCCCCTTTAGAACTATCATTTGAATAGATTTTTGGTTATTACGCTAAATGTCCCTTTCAGGGATAGGGAATGGAATCAAGTGTGTCGTATTCCTCGCCCGAAAAAGACTCATTTTGGTCAGTTCCGACAAAGTAGATTGTGGCCCAACGGGTTCAAAATCATCCAAAACCATACAAGGACTGAAAAAAATTCATGCAGCTATGTTTTCCCCATGCATGGCCACGAATTCCAAAAGAGGTGTGAATTTGACGAGAAGTTTGCTCCGCACCCAGCTGAGGGTGTATTTCCGAGTCAAAGTGCCCTATTCCTATCAACTTGTTATATGGAATATGAGCATAGAACTCTATTCCTCACACTGACATACCTCATTCTTCAGGGATGTCTGTGAGCTGTTGGGATGCCATTCTGATCATTTCCCCTCAAAGCAGTACAGAGTTAGTTTCCTTGTCCATGTCCCCGGTCACCTAAGTGGTCGCTGAAACCAGACTTTGCATGCATGATATTTTACTCAATATAAGGACGGTATTTCATCTAGGGCCTTCACTGAAATGACCGCAAGAAGAAAATTCCTGCATTTTGAGCACGTATTTTTGAAGTGAGAAACGGATTATAGAAAAGCCAAAAGTGACTATCATCACCGCAAGCTGATGGGTAAATTCTTCCTGGCTTTTTGACGTTGTAATGTATGTTTGGATCTGACACAGGCCCATCTGAGCCACCGGCATCTGTGAGCGTCACGGATGTCAACAGAACATCACTCTCAGTGGTATGGAATGAAGTACCCTTGCTTGGTCGCAATGGTCCAATCACACACTATCTGGTCAAGTACAACAACAGCCATGACCGACGTGTTGGAAGTGATCAGCTCTCACTCACACTGCATCACCTTCAGCCCAACACAGACTACAACATCAGTGTATCGGCTATAGGTCACGGAGGTCAAGATGGCCCAGCCAGAAGTAGTGGCATTATCACAACACTTGAAGCTGGTCAGTACCGTAGCTGGTGGCGGAATTGGTGTTGAAATTCACCATTATCATAAGCAGTGTTTATGCAGGCTGATCTGACTGGTATCCAGGAACATTTCGGCCAAAGAAGTATCAGTCCCGAATGAGGTGGCAGGGTTGGGTTTATATATATATTTTTTTATTCATTGCAACATCTCAAGGTTCAGAGAGTGAGTTCGGTTTTGCCCGAGAATCGACGTTGAATCCGTTCATGAATCGCCCCTGGATTTTCACATCACCGCATGCAAAAAGGGCGAATGGATTCCGAACCAATTCCAAGGCTCATGACATGAAAATCGAACGACTTGAATGCACCAAATTCCGTTCATGAATCGATTCATAGGCGTAATCGAACGCACTCAGTGATAACCTCCACCAATGTGAAGAGAGTGGATGATAGCCAACCACGGCGATAAAGAAAAGTAGGGGGTTCGGAGGCCACATAGCACCTATATGCCCTGAACTTGCGTCCAGGAAAGCAGAGAATGTAGGGTAGGGGCAAAGGAACACTGGAGCGTGTTCACTCTTTTTCACTTCACTAGTGAACCTTCTCATATAAAAAATATACAATATGAATGCACAATATGCGGACAGAACTGTTTCCTACGGTCCTTTGTGGACTCATCAGCGCAGCACAGAGAAAATGAGGCCGAACCTGCTAGCTATGAAAAGTGAATTTTCCGAAGCCAGATTTTAACCAGGCCCGAACATACGAGTACCTTGCCGAATACGTTTTATTAGGGTCCACCAATCAAGCGCCCACGTGGCCGACCCAATTTCAGATGGATTGACAATATCAAAAATGATATAAAGCACGCCAATATTGATATTTCTTACTGTTTTGAACTGGCACTAGACAAGAAAAAATGGCTGATGCTTGTGGAAAAATGTGCTGCGCTTGCGTAGTTGTTCTTACTGAGATTATGTTCTAACAATATTAAGAGAGCATGTCTGAGAATACCCAAGTATGTGGGCAAGTAGATCTCTCCGATTTCGCTCAAAATTTGCAGGTATGTTCCCTTTGGGGTGTAGATCGATTGCGCTAAGCCCTGGAAAAAAGTTTCTGAAGGGAACCTTGAAACTTGCATATCCCTCGAAAATGGCCACAATATCACACTATTTTTGGGTCTACAAACGAGTCACGCCACAGCATATACTAACACGCTACGAACAAAACTCCATCAATCCAACATTGCCTCACCTTAGAAGAGTTCCTGGAGCAGTACCGCTTAGCCACGCCAGGATCCCAGAATACGAGGGCCATCACCCCTGACGCCACAAATGATCGTCTTGAGAATAGCTAATTTACAAGCGCTGGCAAAACAGCCAGCTACGTCCTCAATTGGCAAGAACTATACACCGGCAGATAGTAGAACACCTCTTCTAGCGCTGATGACATGTCGAGTCGCTAGTGTACTGGTGCAAAACAGTGACCTCAGTCTGTGATCTCCAAATAAATAATCGTATGACCACGTGATAGATAGCAATACCAGCTTAGAAGTAGCAAATTCGGCTTTGAGAGCTAGAGGGATTCTGGAAATACCATAGCTATGTGGACTGTTGAAGCTGTATGATGCGGCAAAGGAAAGGCACTGAACTGTGCAATATGTTAGCAGTAAAGTGCATCATGGATGCAAGCAGCCGAAAGCTTATCGATGCTTGTGGCACCCTATGTTCTCCAGTACCAGGTGAGCCAGCTCTCACACTGATGTCAACATCAACCAGCGTGAGGGTCGTCATGATATCCACTTCAACATTCTGGAGAACCGCACAATACTGCGTTGGCTTCGGCGTCACGAGTACAGGTGATTTTCAGAGCATTCCTGCTGCTCTGCTGCCAACAGCTGTTAGCAAGTGTGAACATAAGGGTGTATTTGAGTTCCAAAATGTTCAGGAGTTTGTTATCTACAGCATCACCGGATGGGTGAAAAATGGAAGAGGCGACGATGGTGCCACTCGCCTGCATTATATCACAACTCCGCAGGGAGGTAAGGAAACCACCGAAATTGCTATTCATAGCCTAGGAAGGCACAGGGAGAACAAAACCCTGAAACCTTGCCATGTAACATGCATACCACATCACACAATTCTGTACTAGTAGTATTCTGGACGTCTTCCCGCTTTTCTTGCTGGATCACAATTTGTTTTGTTTTAGACTTTGACATGATCAAACTCCAACCCTATGCATGTAATGTTCTTTCTTCTGATCGTGCTACACTGCTCTAGTTCCGAGTCAAGCTCCTCCTAATCTCACTGTTACTGACATCACGGACACATCTGCTAAGCTACAGTGGAACGCGATACCCCTACTCGAACAGAATGGAGTAATCATATCATACCACGTGAACGTTACTGCTATCTTTTCTATGCGCGAGGTCTCAAGTCGAACATTCACTGCCCCTGCCCGTAGTGGAAAAATAGCACAGTTGAAGCCATACACGACATATGAGGTGATCATTAGTGCTGCTACTCGTATTGGCACAGGGAGTTTCTCCCACCCGACATCATTCCAAACTCAGGAAGCAGGTAAGTCTTTAAGTTTAAACATAAACAATCTGTTTAAATTAGCAACCGCTTTGTGTGTAGGTGAGGGTAGGGGGGGGGGGTCAATGGAATGTACCACTGCTGGGGTGAATGATATCCACATCCACAATGAGCTGTGTTACACCGGGGGAGCCATAGCATGTAAGGAGCCGACAAGGATGCCTTGAGTTGAGGTGATGTGGGTGGATGCCTTGAGTTGAGGGGATGTGGGTTTCGTACCTACAGTCATGGCCTAAGAAATCCGACCCACGTGCCGAATGCAGCGCCATGGCTCATGCGACCCCTGCAGCCCTCAGATCTTTTTTTTGGAGCGTACATGATGCAATTGAAGTGGAATCACGGCGCTACTTTTGACTAGGGTTTAAACAGTTAGACCGGATGATAACCAGTTATCCGGCAACAGCTAGAATGTAGTGGTTATGAGACCGTTTTAAATTTTCTATTTTTTGCGGTTTCAAACGGTTTTTCATGCACATGTACAATGCAGCAGTACATGGTGCACAGCATTAATCTTAACACCATGTGCATGAGAGCAAGAAACGCTGTATCGCACTCGCTGACTGCTCATCATCTTGTTACAGTCGTGGATGTTTGCTTCATACTCGTTCCCATGTGTTTTCTTCTATTTTACATTCACTACTGGCTCGGTATCCGAGTTAACCTATTGGTATTGGTCTTTCTTGCCACAGTACCCGGGCCGCCAAATGTAACACTCAACGCTACGTCAACCAGTGTCACTGTTCATATTACATCTCAGTCACCGTTTTGGAGTGTTGCGAAATATTGCGCAACAATCCTTCCGACAATAACAGGCACTTTGCAACCTATACCAGCCAGTCTTCGCCGCGAGGATAAGTGCTCATCCGTTGGCTCGATTCACTTTCACAACCTTGAGGAATATGTGGTCTATGCCACCAGATCCAAAGTGCAGAATGGACAAAAAGATTACAGTGGTGAAACAGAGAAGTCAATCACAACTTCTGAAAGTGGTAAGAGATTATTTTCCAATTTTTGGGGGAACTAATGAACTGATGTTCATTACCGTTGTATTCGACTTGAAAAGTAATAGTGCGAAAGGCCTAGTCGAGACAATACCGGCTTTTGTGCTCCATGTGCTGAACTTTTCAACTGTAAACCAATTTGAAAGAAATTTCATTATTTATCTGGAGAGAGCCCAATGTAATACTCGGCTTTCTTTTACTCAGTTATTGCTGCTGAGACGAGGGCACTAAGTAACTATTGCAGGGTGAATAGAAAAGAGTGGCTCAAGAGAGGGCTCTAATCGCGCACGTATGGTATGCCTTAATGAATCTGGTCTTAATCGGCCATAAGTCCGAGGTCGAGGCCGTATCTTATTTCTCTCATCTTATGAGACTCCCACTCAAAAGTAACCACAACTCTGCGGCATCCTAAAAAGGATGTCTTCACCTTTGAAAATGTTCTTGTCTACACATTCTTTGCTCACAAACCAGAACTACAGTGCATGGAAAAAGCCTTGTGAGGTGTGATCACTTGAGTGCGCTGATCTTTATCAAGATCCCTCCACTAAGATGTCCTCCGTGTGCAGGAAATGACTTGAAAATTTGAGATGCCTCCCTTGCTCATTATCAATATAATATATGGGATTTGAAAACGATGTAGTCGATACCCATGTCATTCTCTGTATTTCTTGTCAAGCTCCCGGCATTCCTCCTGCAAATCTAAACGTAACTGCCGTTGCCAATACGTCGGTGAGGCTGCAGTGGGACCCCATTCCTCTCCTGGATCAAAATGGAGAAATACAACTGTACAACATCACTATCACTTCACTATATCCAGTGACCGAAGTGAGAGACCACACCGTCAAAGCGCCTGCCCTGACAGCAGTTATCGACTATTTGCAACCGTTCACAAACTACACCGCTGTCGTTGCGGCTGCCACGGATGCAGGTCTTGGAAACTTCTCCCGTCCACAGTCATTTCAGACTAAGCAGGCAGGTATGGATACAGCTAATGGTTTTTTTGTGAGACTTATCCCCTTGCCCACATCGTTAGGCGCTGCATATGCCACTGGGTTTACCAGCTGTAAGCGGCTGTCGCGTGTTCCCTTCGGGAACAGACACAATAATTTACTTTTTACAGCTCACCAATCCAGTACTTTTCTGTTTTTGTTTTGCTTCGACTTTCAGATAGGCTTTTCAGTCCGGCTATGTTCTCTGCTTTTACAAGTGTGTTTCCACCCAATGCAGCTATAGGTCCAGTGTTATGAGGGATATTCGGGAAGCCAAACTTCCACAATCCTTGTAAAATCCTGTTTGAGGTTCTTTTAGGATTTGAAGAGCCTTTCTCTGGTGAGATGTCAGCTACGGACTGCGCTATTGGGGAACTTTTTGAATGCATGATTGTGGCTTGACACACCATACCTTGATCCGCCCTGCTCTTCGTTTCCCAACATCTGTGTTCTTCTCCAAGTACCAAGCACGGCTCCTGACAATCTACAGATATCGTACAGCAACTCGTCTTCTCTCAACTTTCGATGGTCACCACTGAGCCTGCGGCTGTTGAACGGTGAATTTCTAACCTATCTGGTCAAGCTAACACTGAAGGAGCAGACCATCCTCACTATGAACTCAACGGAACCGCACATCAGCATCGACAACCTGGACTATGGCACTTCCTATGGTATCGAGGTAGCAGCTGTATCGACTGGTGGTCTCGGTGCCTACTCGCAATCTTACAACGTGACTACAACTCAAGAGGGTGAGTCAAGTGCCAGGTCTTGCCACTCAGCCTACAGGTCTACCCTCGTTACTAGATAACCCCTGGGGTTTCAACATCTTTATCTTACTGTATAGCAGGAAATTTTCGGACGGAATTTATTTTCGTACGATTTCGTACACGGCCTCTTTTGTACTAAAATTAATTCCGTACTAAAATTTGTTCATGTGAAATTATGTACACTATACATGCGTACTGCATGCAAACACATGCATTTAGCATGCAGCACTGTACGAAAATATAATCCGTACGAAAGGTCGAAATTCGGCTTTGTCCGAAAATATTTCCGTCCGAAAATTTCCTGCCATACAGTATAACGAGTTCATATACTATCAGAACTTGCACATGTTTCTGCTGTTTTACGTGTGTACGTCAGAACTGATGTTTCCGCATTATAAAAACAATGTTTTCTCCCGGACCCTGTACAAGACAACCCACTCTAAGACAATTTGTTTCCATCGGGCCCCCGGTACAAGAAAGCATGAAACATTGTGGCTATCCATGGCCCGATGATTCGCTGTGTCTTGTATAGAGGGACTCGAACCTGTGGGGCAGCTGAAGGTGATGTTAACACGAATTTTGCCGATGTCGTACTAACGACCGTAGACCTGTGTAAGGTGAACCATGAACTGCCTTCGCTGGATACTCATACTGTGGAATTCTTGGGTACCGGTATAGAATGTAGCAATGCACAAGACCAGTGACTCACTGGTACGCTTAGGGATCCTTCCACGAAACCATAGTGCTATGTCTCACGTTCAAATGTGTGTGTGTGTGTGTGTATGTGTGCACGTGTGTGTGTGCGTGTGTGCACGTGCGTCTGAGTGTGTGTGGGTCTGTGTGTGTGTGTGTGTGTGTGTGTGTGTGTGTGTGTGTGTGTGTGTGTGTGCGTGTGTGTGTGTGTTTGCATGTGTATGCTCTATACACAGTTCCTGGCAAGCCAAGTGCAAACTTCACATCCACATCCTCGACAATCACAGGGGAAGTGCGGGTGGAACAGGGTCGCTTCAGGGTGTCACGATTCTGTACAGAGGCCACACTGACTCCATCCGGTTCATCCAGACCAGGTCAACCCAGATTAGAATGCAGCCCAAAGCCCACAATCACATTGAAGGGACTGCAAGCTGATGCAGTCTACACCTTGGTAGTGTACGTCAACAACACCGATGGCCAAAGAAGTCCACTGTCTCCTATCTACACAGCCAAGACTCTGCGTAAGATATACATACCTATCCGATTGATAAGTAGAAAAGAGGACCAAAGAGCTATAATTTACATTATTTTACAGGACCGGCGGAAGCAGTTTTTGATTGGACCTGCCATACCCTAGTCTTTCATACAGTTTGTGTGTGACATGGAGGGTAGTCGCATGACCTTATCAGCAGTAACACACATGTTGGTCGCCAAAAAGTTGGTCCGGCCATGGCCTGACCAACCGGACCGGTTCCGCCGGGCCTGCTATAATATCCACTAACACCACCAGTGTAGCGGAACTTGTTGCTCTTTGCTCCTCTTTTTCTTCTTATAAATTAATCCTTGGTTCTCCACCCGAGTCTACTGATACCTATAATTGTTTAACTGAAGCAACATCCTACAGCGCTGCTCAATGAAATCCAGTTGCTTCGCTCAAGAACGCGCCGGGCGTTGCGTAGCCCTAGACATGCGAACACACGGCTGCGAAATGGTGCGAGGCGCAAACTTGAGAGACGTGACTGGATTTCAATGAGGAACACAGCATTATGACACTCCTGCTTTTCTACCGCTCTCCTTTCTAAAAGACTTGTCAAGGGCTCTAGAGGGCTATACGTAGTGAAGAACCCATCCATGAAATAATTTCATTTATTGCTCAGGTTTCAATCTGTTTGAAAGCCATTGAACCCAGTGAAGAACAGAGCCCGCCAGGCAACTAACTATGCACTGATAATCATTTACGGTTGAAGTTTTCAAAAGAAAATGTGTTCAATAGTTTGCCATCACAGCGCTGCATGCTTGCATCTTCCACAGATCCTAGATGCATGCCTGCATCTTCCACAGATCCTAGATCATGCTTGCATCTTCCACAGATCCTAGATGCATGCTTGCATCTTCCACAGATCCTAGATGCATGCTTGCATCTTCTACAAATCCTAGATGCATGCTTGCATCTTCCATATATCCTAGATGCATGCTTGCATCTTCTACATATCCTGGATGCATGCTTGCATCTTCCACATATCCTGGATGCATGCTTTGCAGGTAGCCTTTGGCGGATAATGCCGGCGGAAAAATTGGCAGAATTTGGTACTTTTCTGGTAAATTTCATGCATGTTTGGTACGTGGATAAAGAAATGGAGCAGAATTCAAGGACTTGCCTGCCATAAGGTTTGCATTTCAATGCTTTTCGAGCAGAATAGGCCAACTTTTCGAGCATTATCCGCCAAGGTCCGGTACTGTCCGAGTTACACTCACAGCTATTTTTTGCTTCCAAGTTGCCATTTTTACTTAGTGACTGTTTGCTGGTCATGATTATCGTCTTTCGCTCCCTCTTGCCTTCTGCTAAGGTACTGACACTTCCACCCTAACCTTGATTGTGGGAATCGGATCATCCATACTTGGGCTTACGGTTCTGCCTCTCATTATCATCATTATAAGACGAAAGCGCGGTAAGAAACCCAAGTACACACCTGAAGACCACGGATCAGTTTTGCGTGGAGCTCCGCTCATTCCCATTAGTAAACTGAGCACAACAACGGCCGTTGACATATGCGGGCCGGCGGCAGAGCGAGAGACGGTACTCACTACCAACGCGGCATATGGTGCATTGGTAGCTCCTCCGAGTTCAACCTCAGATCCTAATGTTGATTTCAGTGATGGAGACACTCAAACAGCCAAGGCGGCTGCAATGTTTGAGCCAGATTATGCCGTAATCCCACCAAGCCGCCAGCCCCGAGCAATCCACACTCCCGAAGGAGAGTATGATCCTGTCGAAGGCTGTGTCGTCGTTTATGAGGAACTGCCCATCGACTGTATGCCGTCGGAAACAGTTTCGTGAGTGACGGTAAAAGTATCTGCAAGTGCAAATAACTGCTTAAGGTATAGAGGTTATGTGAATGATGTCACACTGGTGAGTCCGCGGAATCACGTATGGGCGCTAAGTATGCAGCATAAGTCAACGGAACCGCTTATGGGTATCATGTATATAGCGTGAGCTGCTAATCGCCTTAGCACCTCGACTGATGATCTAATCGCGTAACCGCTATTAGACTGCACAGCACATTCAGCGATAATGCTTCCTGGTTCCAAGGCTTCATCTCTAAACCATCATTCACCGCCAGTTCCTGTTCAGTCCTCGCTGCGTGAACCCACATCCGCTGTCGATCTCAGTCCTTGCTACTATGTTATTCTCATTCTAAACAATCCACCCACCGTCAGTCACTGTTACCTGCTGTGAATTGTTCTCACCCTAAACAATCCACCCACAGTCAGTCACCGTTACCTGCTGTGTATTGTTCTTACTCTGAACAATCCGCCCACAGTCAGTCACTGCTACCTGCTGTGTGCTGTTCTTACTCTGAACCAGCACTTGTCAATATACAGGCGTCCCTATTTAATCCAGGACTTTTTAAACCAGCACCCCCTATAAACCAGCACAATTTTCAGTCACCAAAATGTCCTCTTCGTGCACATTGCAGCAGAGAATCAGATTTGTTAATTCAGCACACTCCCTAATCCAGCAATAATTTCAGGAAATAATTTCCCTATCACAAATGGTGCGGGATTATAAAGGGACTGGTGCACATGTAGCAATATCTTCCTCTACACTTCTTCCGGCCGGTGAGTGATTAATACTAGAACATTGTACAAGAAAATGATTTACGTCACAGGGCCAATACCCTAGTAAAGATCTGCTGCTCGCAAACCTGTTTTGCGCTGTGTTCCACAGTACTTGCTCCGCCCAAATACTGCCTTATAATATTGGTCCCTGGATACGTCTGCGCGTGAGTGCAATGTTTAATCAACATGCATGATTCGAGGAAGGCAAGTCCACGTAACCGTTCCGTAGCTTTGTAGTTTTTCCACTTTGTGTAAGCTGCCAGGGACCAGTACAACGCTTCTCACTATACTACAGAAACTATACAATCTACATACCGTAAATATACAAATTTTCGGCAGCTATTTAATTTCGGCTATATTCGGCACCGACCCAAAACGCCTAAATTAAAACGCCGATGAAATTTTTCACAGCATCTGTCGCACTATACCTGTATACCATGCCCTCTACCCCACGCCGAAAATAAATCGCCGCCGAAATGTCAAAAATCGTGAAGTGCCGAAATTTTGCAGCGCCGAAATTTTGTATATTTACAGTACATCACATGCCACTGAATCCTGGAGATGCTTCCTTGCTTGGCTGGTGACTTGTAGCAGTGAATTTTACACAGCAGATGCACGTGTGAGGTTGGCTGACCTATGTTTTCGCATGCTGCTGTGTATAGCCTGCGCATTGGACCCACCTGTGCTAAAATTTGTTAAGGAAGCGAAAATTCTGCCTCAGAGCTGCGTGATTTTGTTCAATTTCTCTCCTAAAATTATATTAGTCCTTTTAACATTATCTTCTGTCTGCCCTAAATCTCTGCAGCACCTACAATCTTTCAAAGTCATTGCAGCTGAAGCCGATTTCTGAACAACTTTCGCCGAGAGCATGTCTCATTTGTTAGGTTCACCTTTGACTGATGCTGGGCTGGTCATACCTCTGTGTAATCAACAGCTACATACGTATATCTAGTCAAATCTGGTGCTACTTTCTGAAACACAAACTGGCAGGATTTTGACTGAGGAGCTGCTGTCCAAGATTTGTTTACAGACAGCAGCTCCGTGTCAGGTGAAGCTGACTTTTCTTCCCCCTAGGTTTCCTGTGTTTCCCTCACTCGCGTTGGTGGCTGCATGATGACGAAAGGCGAGGAAATGGCTTTGTTCTCTGCAACTAAAGAGGTGGTGCTGGGGTGAACATCACCAATAACAATACAATGTCATCCTTGTCATCCCACCATACTAGAAAATTTGACCACATAGTATTGGGCATCTTTAAATCTGGACATGGTTAGCATTTTTACCGTTCACGCTAACTTCGACCGTCGACCTGTACCGTTTTTTGTGTGTTTTCAAGACATGATCAGCATCGGTTTCTGACACAACGATCGGCTTGTGATGTCACCCTACAATTTGTAGTTGAAATCTTACCGTTTCGTTCTCCCTATAAAACAGAGCTTTCTATCGTCGAAACAATACCAAACCGACGGTATTTTGGGTGCTGGGTACGAATACCGTTGGATTTAGCGTGAATGGTAACAAAAAAACAAACAAAATGCTAAGTAACCAGCCTATTGTAGACACAAACGCCTTGCGGAATTACTTCGACTTACCGTAATGACGTAGACGTTCCTCTGTGCTTGTGTGTATCACCACTGCTTCATCACAACCGACTCACAACCAGCTGCTGGACGGTGTCGGTGCGAACTTGGCGGTCCGGGTGCGGGCTGCAGCCACCTGCCTCTCTTCCGCTTCTTGCCACCTCCGAGTCATGGCTTCCCATGCACCGCTTTTTGCCTACTTCGGAAGTTCCCCTATCTCCAATGGCCGTGTTGTGACCAGATTTCTAGCATGCAGGGACCGAAGATAGACACTCTGACTGGCATAAACATTCAGAAGAGCTGCACATGTAGAGGCGAATCTTGCTGTGCCCGAAACAAAATTCACTATGTGACTTGCAAACAGAGTGCGCGAATCATGTCCCAGCACTGGGTCATAACCAGGGAGCTGTGAATAGCCAGTGCAGGCTAAATTTTATTTTTCAAGGAAACCCTTCGAAAATGGTACCAATCGATTCAGCATGGCATTTTCATTCCTCCTGCAAAGTTTCAGCTGATTTGGAGTCATGACAAGGACGCTATGGCGATTTGAAGATCGAAAAACTTCACTTTTGTTTGTCAAGAAGAAAGACCATGATCGCACACAAATCATACAACCCGTGTGGCACAATGATTTTTGAACGAAGTTGATCCGCGGACCCCGTGCTTCGCGCATGCATGCATGCATACTGCATGCACACGTACACACGCAGTACAGAGGCTTTTTTGAACGCGGATATGTAGTTCTTCGTCTTCTTCGAAATGTCTTCCAAATGCGTGGTGCTGGTGTTGTTCTCAGCTTCGTCAAGGCAGAATGCAGCTGCATGTGATGCTCCTGTGTGTTCATGCATGTTCTCTTTTCGCGTCTCGACATTGTAGCGTCCAGACTCTGCTCGACTGGAGAAGATTGAGGAGACTATGCTTTGATCCACATGGAAAATCGATGAAATTTGGTAATTATCGTCGGGCGCTAAAAAGCGCTGGGGAGCATGGGGCTAAAACTTCGTAGCAGTCATCCCTACCATGACAGGCATCGACTGGTATATGTTCCATTCTGTTCCCAACCACTACGGGTAGTCTGCGAAGCTTTCTTCTTCGCCGATTCTCGGACAGATCGTACGTCTTCGCACTGTATCTCTCGTCTCCCTCAACGGATCAAAACACGGTTTTCGCCAGGACGAACACAAACCCCCAGATTTCGCGGCGGCAACAACTTCGAGTAGGGAAAAGCTAGCAGCTAACCAGGAATCACCAAAAAACACGTGTAATACTCAGTGTGATTTGCGACAGCTGTCATTGTGCCGTCGCACCATGCATGTACCATGCACGGGAATGGAACACGGATGAGTCGTTTTATTACGACAGCCTGCACTGGCTACTGTGAAAGCTGTTTCACGACTACCTGGCTGTAGGCTAGCTGTGTAGCCTAGCACAGATCTTGCTTCGACTGTAGACTAGTGTAGTGGCTGATGGCTAGTTGGCTAACATGGTAGATTGAATAGATTCTACCTCTCGCTCATGGGACGGTGTGTGTCTACAAATGTAGGAGCGATCGAGCCCTCGCTTTTCACTTGCTCGGACCGGTTGGTGTTAGTTGTCCGCCCAATCTCTAACACCCACAGAACAGTAATGCGTGTCGTTTCAGCCAGGGGTCTAGACTCAAGGCACACTAGATGCTCAATGACGTCGAGTCTAGTCACGTCACTCCAGTTTGCGCCTTGCACCATTTCGCAGCCCAGTGTTTGCAGGTCTAGGGCTGCGCAACGCCCGGCGCGTACTTGAGTGACGCGACTGGATTTCATTGAGCAGCACGTCTCCTGTGAGTCTACAACTACAAGTAATAGTTAGTTTTCGCGATTCCTTGGTGTGAATCTGCGACTGCATTTCCGATTTACTAGTACCGGTACACAGACTGGTACATGTACAGACAGTGGCTACATACAGGCAGTGTAGTGCTACAATACAAATCCCTATGTTGATCAGACCACAGAGGTGCTGAGTCCGAGAGTGCTACATGACATGTAGAGTCTACGGTACATGTACATTGCACATTGTATACAGTACTAGCGGCAGTGTAAACCTTGTCCTCACGTCTCTCAAGGTCCGGTCTGAATACAGTGCTAACTAAACACCTGGTACTGTAGTACTTCTGCAATAGTCTCCCGAACGATGTCTGAGGTTCTTTCTCTCACCCGGACCGGATTACTGCCTTCACTTCCTATCAATAAGGCTCGGTAGCTGCCGCGACAGACGGGTAGAGTCTACGACAGCATGTTACAAGTACAATCATGTTGTTGGTTTTGAATCATGTAGCAAAGGTGTAGATGTAGGGATGGAGAGTTCCAGCCCGATCCTGCTGAGCAGGAGGTGCAAAACTTCTCACTGGCCTAAGCTGAAAAGTAGACTACAAGTACTACTGTATTTCGATTTTGACAGCATGTTACAAGGCGAGGACGCGTAGTGCTCCTGACTACAACCATAACCCACTACTACTGTAGTAGGTTTGCAGACCATCGCTCTGGCCTGGGCAACGCAGCAGCAAGATCTCGCCAGCTGTGCTCCAGATGTTAACCAGATGTTTGATCTGCCTGGCAACCAAACTACATGTAGCTTATCGAAGACAGTCGTGGTTGTGTTCATCCACAAGCGTATGTCATAATCTGGAGCGAAATTTTATAGCCCTCTCTCTCTCTCTCTCTCTCTCTCTCTCTCTCTCTCTCTCTCTCTCT